TTCTTTTACTCCATCCTGCTTCCCTATCGCTATTATGATCTTTACACCACTTCATAAACAAATTCACATTTTGTTCTTCCAGCATTCCCATATAAAAGGTTAATGTAATATATCTCCACCCTCAACTGTGTAAGAGTCAAATGAAAGTCTGCAAGTTAATTCTTTCTAGAAAATGATCTTTTCATTCACTTCTAATGCCATCAAAGATGATGGCAATGTGACTGCAAATAGCTTCCAAGAGGACAGTAGACAGGCAAGGGTTTATATTTAAAGAGTTAGTTTTCATTCATACAACAATCTATAAACGTCAATCTTCCTTTTTGGCAAGAGCTACTATATTCAAAAATTCTCCTTTTGAGAATTTTTTTTTTCTTAAAATAGGCATCCTAAATACAAACAATATTTCTTGAGAGGGTTTGATGGATATTTTTCTTTGTCAGTATCTTTAAAAATACACAGAAATTACCCTGATTGTGACTTGCTTGGGCAAAAATTATTTTTTATATTACTGTGATTGATGCTAGAAGACATCCTGGTGGCGGGTACTTATAGTGAGATATTAGCTTACCTGTTATTCCTTGTGCTTTCCTTTCCCCTTCTTCCTGAACTTCTAACTCATCCATCACGAGCCAGAGGAGATTTTAGATGGTTAGAGGAAGAACTTAAGGAGAAAGAGACTATTTGTAGTATTATTTTTGGTTGTCAACCTAAGATTGTAAGATTCAAAGGAAAAACCCTGAGGGGAAAAGAGTTGAGAGATTGTAACCTTTTCAAGAGAAAAGTCAGCCAAATGCTAGCTCTGGCCCCCGGCTGCATGCAGCATCCGGAAGCTGAGTCAACACCTGGGGGCCATTCCTAAGAGTTCATCATTGTCTCCCACCCAACACCCCCTTCTCCGGACAGGCGACAGCTTCCTCTAACACTGCCTGGGCTCCGACTATTAGTCATTCAACAAAAGTCGGCCCCTTCCCTACCTCCCTGCCCTGAGACTTTTAAGAGTTCCCATCTGAATGGAAACTCCAAAAATCAGGTAAAAGCCTGCCATTCCCTTCATTATAGGCAGAGGAATTCAGTGAACTTGAATTTCCACCAGATTAAACAATGATGATGTATGAATCTTAAGTATCAATATTTCTATTTGACACATTAACATAATTAGGTCAACGCTAATATATTGTCCTTTTTCAAAATAGACTTGCACTGTAAGGACTGTAGACCGCACGCCGGAGCCCTGCAGAGCCTGCTTTATCTTGTAACAGGGTGGTCCCCAGGAAAGGGGGAGGTTCCAGGTTCCCTGCCCCACCCAAGGAAGGGTGGAGCTGAGCAGGAAGAGGAGAAGCTGCAGAAGAGACTAAGGAAGGAAGCAGGATGGAGCAAGGAGACCTGGAGGAGGCACATGGAGCCTAGAGACACGTGAAGAAACTGCGCTTGTCTTTTGGTCATGGACTAGGTGACACAGATGTGGGTGAGACCCGTGGGGAGGTGACAATGGCAGCTTTTATCTTGATGTTGATTTTGCTCTTTTCCTTCCGGGCTTGTCTGGTTGTTTGTGACCCTTTTCTGTGGGTCCCCACTGGAAGATGTTTTAGACTTGTGGCAGGCTTTGGGGCCTTGCTCTGGGCCGACCCCATATGGATGGAGTTTTACCCACGAGGGGATGGGTAACTTTGGGTGCTTCATTTAGAAACTAGACTCTTTGCCTTACCTGTATTGTTTTCTAGTTTTTATTAAAGTTCCTTCCCATTAAAGTCTCATATGTTTTGTGTTGATGCGGCGGATGGCAGAACCCATTTAGAATAGGCAGGTTTGCGGGGCTTGGGCTGCCCCTCTCCCTGTCCTATAACAATCTCACTGTGTGGGACCAGCTGTGCTCTTCTCCAGGACTTGAGCCCAAGGGCGTGCACAAATGTTTCTGCAGCTCCTAAAATGAAAGACAGCAGTTCACATCTGGCAACAAAGCACACAGAGCACAAGTTTAAATGTATCAAAGAAAAACTTGTGAAACATCTGACATTTCTACAAGTTGATCTGGAAAAATATGTATGAGCAAAGTTGAGAGAAAAGACTTGCTGTGTCTTTAATGGCAGGCAGGCATCCAGTTTAGGATGTGTTATTAAGGGGTCAATGGTTGTAGGAGAAAAGAAAGGTTTAAAATTTCTTAGTTGCTGTTACAGCCCCAGAGGCATTGTTAGGGGAAAAGGATGTCCTGAGCAAACTCCATACAGATTTTGTGGACTCCACCCACACGACACTGGGAACTACAAATCCCATAATCACCAAAAGGTGGGTTACAGTGGACCTGAGGGCGGAGTTAAGCAACTAGGCTCTTGGATCAGCAATGAAATTGAAAATTAACAGAGTAAGCTGTCAAAAAATATTTGTTGATGACTGTATTAAGAAATTCTGAGTCGGGCAATAATAAGAATGCTACAGATTCAACAAAGCTACAATGAGTTTACCTAAAGCTGTATATAGAATGGATTTGGTGCTTTCCAAGATGGCCAGGGCATTCCTTTGCTAAAACAGCTTCCAAGTCATTGGAAAGAATGGTGTGACAGAGAATTCTAGAATACAGATTTGTCTTCTGTCCTCCACTGTTTCATACATCAATTTGCACCGTGAATTTATCTGTTTACCTTGAAACTCAAATCTGCAAGGGGGAAGCATTTTTAAGTTTGCACGATGTGATGGGTTTCCTAAAACATTTTCTGTCAAACTTTATGCAAATATTACAAAGGTTGCAAGCATGTTTATGCCTGATAAATTAACAATAAAACCCCACCTCACATCTTTACTTTCTGGAAACTTAAGCTAAGTTAATACTGAATATTATTTCTGGCAGGGCCCCCTAAAGCAGATGACCAAAGGAAAGTCTTATCTATTCCTTCATTTCTGGAGAACCCTCAACCCCAGGGTGCCTGGTGAGTTCCATTTGCAAGAGCATGATAAAAACAGAAATTATCATTCAAACCCAAACCTGTTCCAAACACAATGTCGTTCTAACAAACACAGATGGTCCAGGAATCCTGTCATATCTATTCTTATTCATGTAGCTTTTCCTATAGCCAACTATGTATGCTGAAAACAATGTAGAAGGACAGGGAAAGATCAATCAACCCATAGTTCCTTTCCTTTTCAAACCTGCCTTACTCATAAACAAGTCAGAATCTAGTGTTGTTAAGAATGCGCATGTATAAAGAAATGGAATAAATGAATTCATTTTGTCCATTGTTCTGGAATATATGCATGTCAGTTATGAAATGCAAATTGTATTTTCGGTGATTTTTTTCATGAGTTAAGTATTTCTATACTCGCATTTAAAAAGTCATTGTAGAATGTAAAGATGAGAGCTAAAATTTGTTAGTTAATTTTTTACTAGAGCTACATTAAGTAGCAAGTTAAAAAAATTACATAAGGAGAAAAAGCTCTATGTCTTCGTGAATATTAATGACATTTTTATCCTTGATTTTTAAACAGCGGGCCCTGCATTTTCATTTGGCACTGGGTCCTGCAAATTATGTTGCTGACTCTGGTTTTAAGCATTTTGAATCCAAATGTATAAAATCACTTGGAATAATGCCAGGCTTGTACAAGTGTTCTATGAGTGCTTGCTTTTACTATCATTACTATTATTAAAAGTCACAGACATTTGGATAATTTCTATTAAAAAAGGCAAAGTTCATCCATATGTGCTTATATGCAACAAAATGTTGAGGGCTTAAATATGAATATTCCTTTGCTTTTTGTTTCTTGAAGCTATTTTATACACTATAATACCCTGGTTATGTAACTTCCAGCATTTGCCCAAGTATTAATTTTACCATTCTGTTTCTTAATGTTTAACTTGTTAGGCAAACACCCCCGCTTGGCCAGGGATATATTTTGTAACACAGAAATGTGGGGATGGTTCAAATGTCTAATTACTGGTAATTCAATTTGCTTGACAAATAAAGCTCCTGAAATAACTCATGGTCTTTCTTCTAAAAATGCGAGCTACACTGAAGCAAATGTTTATTATGATTTCTGAGTGAAAAAAGTTTATTTACCCAAATGTCCATTAATGATGGATAGAAAAGTTTATGTCCATCCAGTGGAATAGTATTCAGCTATAAAAAGGAAATGCCGCCACATTATGATATGTATAAACATTGAAGACACTGTACTGAAATAAGCCAGTCACAAAAGACCACACACTAAATGATTCTATTTATGTGAAATGCTCAGAATAGGCACATTGTAGAGTCAGAAGGGTGACTATTGGTTGCTTAAGGCTGAGGAGTTGTGGGGAGATGGGAAAAGGCTGCTAATTATCAATAGTATAGCGTTCCTTTGGGGGTGATAAAATGTTCTAAAAGTGACTGTGTGATGATTGTTAGGGGGGAAAGGATGTCCTGAGCAAACTCCATACAGGCTTTGTGGACCCCACCCCCACAACACTGGGAACTACAAATCCCATAATCCCCAGAGGGAAGGTTGTGAGGACCTGAGGGCAGAGTTAAGCAACTAGGCTCTCCATTTGAGTATTTAACTGGCCATGTGGAAGGGGTCACCCTCTTGGCAACACCACTAGGTTTTTCACCAGCCTGGGGGCGGGGGGCAGTCACTGGGATTCCCCGTCAGCAGAACGGGTAGGACACATTTATGAACTTACCTTTCTCTTTTTCACCAAGTTATTCCTCATTTCCCCTTCCCTTGTAAATAAACCTTTTATCAACCTTTTGTGTATATGGGAAGTTTAGCATTAAGTCCCTTTTAAGCGTGCAGGTGAGGACCCAGAGTCTGGCAACCCGTTTTATATCAAGGTTTGCCCTGTAACAGGCCCACTTCTGTGAATATACTAAAGTCCACTGTATTGTACACTGTGAATTACATCTCAATAATACTGTTTTAAGTTTAATCCAGTAAGAGGCTCATATTAACTTTTCCCAATCCCACATCTCATCATGCATGATGGGTGCAAAAATATCAACAATCAAAATAAATTTGATATATTTAAGAAAACCCCAAAATAAATCTTGCTCTTTCCTAAAATGTTTCAAATGTCCTCAAACTGTTATACATTTAAGATTTTTCCAGCAGATTCTTCTGTTGTTAGCTATTAAGGACGTCCCACATAATCTCCTTTGGGCGGTTGAGTACAATTTTTATGTTGTAACTTAACCATAAACTTTTTAGAGCAGAAATAACTGGATTCAAAGGCTTTAAAGCAGAAAAGCAATGTAAATTGTTGAAGACTTCAGAGTAATTTGGTTGTATACATGAAAATGGGTGGAGTTCTACCTATGTTGACCCAGAAATCATATTGCTATTACCTTATAGAAATACTCATGATGTGCACTAAAATCAAGGGAATTGATTTCACATTGGTTTGTAGTTAACAAATTTAAGATGGAAAAATTACATTATTTCTGTTAGTAGTAAAATATCTAAACTAATAATATTCTCACACCGTAGAACAGCATCATTAAAAACAATGAACTAATATACAAACACAGATCAGGGGCAAGTTCTGGAAGTACATGGTTGAGTCTTACACAGCACATCTCAGTATGTATAGCCAAATGCCATTTATAGAAAACAATGCCTCACTCAGTTCATGCTGCTGTAATGTAAACAGCAAACACTGGCTTCTCAGTTCCGGCAGCTGGGCAAAGTCTAAAATAAGACTGTGTCTGATGAGAACTTGCTTCTGGTTCACAGATAACCATCTTCTTCCTGTGTCCTCCCCAGAGAGCTCTCTGCAGTCTCTTCTATAAAGACACTAATACCCTGCAAGAGGGCTCCACCCTCATGACCTAATCACCTCCATATCCTAATACCATCACCTTAGGGAGTAGGACTTCCATATTTGAATTATGAGGAGACATACATTTAGTCCTTAGGCTTCTGCCTAAATACCTGTTTGCAATAAAACTATATAAGCACACATACACAGACGAGAAAAAATAGGCACATCAAATTGCAATGAAAGATAATTTGCACTGCCAGCTTATTTACAATAATTTGGCGATTTATAGTCACCTCTATAGCTTATGAGTGTGGCAACAGGATTAAGAATATTGTAACATAGGACAGCATGAGGCAGGGAAATGGACTTTTAAAAATGCTGTTCAGAATTTGGTATTTATGCCTAACTAACACAATAGCTGATACTTTGCTACCCAGGTTAATAGAGGTAAACTTTCATCCTTCCTTGCAAGAGTGGTTTCTTCTTGGCCTGTGTGGGTGTTCACCTCTGATTTATCGTCAGTTACAAGGTGCATGAGAATCTCTCAGGGATGCAAGTGTATGGGCTTTTTTTTTTTTATTTAGGCTTACAAAATACATGCTTATATAAGAAAATTCCAATATTATAGAAATATGTAATGGCAATCATGGAATTTTTTCCATAAATCCACTCCCTCACAAAACAAATAACAGGGTAGTGTGGCTTCTCCATTTTTTTTAGAGCAGGTTATATTACAAAAAATGTTTGTACAACTTTACATTAAAATTTGCTTATACTAGTCCAAAGACATTCCTCACTCTCAGTGAACAGAAATAAATCACATGAAGGTACCACAATCTATTAAACCAACCCCTTATTGAAAGGACATCTGGGCTGGTTTTATTCATTAATGAACAAAGGTACAATGAACTTGCTATGTACATTTGATAGATATTCCTAGTAGGCATATTCGTAGCAATTTCATAATCTGAAGAAGAGTTAGCCAGAGTTCAAACATTCTCAACATAATCTGAATTTACACTCTTAAAGTTTGTAACAATTATAGTCCCACCACAGCATGCAAGATGGGGTATAATTTGGAAATGCTTATTCAAAGTTTAAGGTGCAATTTTTTACTTTGAAATGGATCCTTAACTGCATTTTCTAACTAGTAAGTGAAGTCTGACAACACTTGACTGATGAGCAACCAGGACCCGAGTGTATAAACTTGTGTTTACCAGAAGGAAGTGCAGATATCCGGCACTTAAATGACACTTTTAAATCCTCACAAAACATTACAGTCCTTGCTACACCTTCAGATACATCCATTTTATCTTATTCCCCCCAAATTTTGATATCTCCATATTGATATCCTACTGCTTGTGGAATAAAATCCAAACTCAAAACCTTCCCCACCACCAAACAGCCACACTCAATGTGCATCGGCAGGGACAGTTCTTTGTTCCAAGATTGTACCACATGATTTCACACGTCTGATTTCATTTACTTTATGTCTCATCTTAGAATACCCTTCTCCTTCCCTGCCCTCTCAAAGCTCAGCTCAAATGCCAATGTATGCTACAAAGCCTTCCCTGGAAAATGAATGATCTTTTCCTCTGCGCTACCCGAGTACTTCCTGAGCACCTCTATTATAGCATCTCTAGATGGAATCCTCAGAGGACAGACACACCTTGTTTATTATCTAGACAATTTGTCTATTTCCTTCACACAGACTCTATTACAGAACTCTGAAGAACATGCACCCCAAAAGTGTTTGTGGAATAAACATACATTAGTTAAATTAAGACTTCAAATCCTTTAATCCCAAATTAGCCATCACAGACATTATTTAAAGGATTTAAAAAAAAAACAAAACTACTGTTTCTCTCACACATTCTATTATATAGTAAGTCATTCCATACGTTTTTTAAAAAAGGGCCTTTAATAAAATTGACAAAATAGTCTACCTTTAGATAGTTCCGTTCAACAAAGCTGCATATGCTTGATATCTGCATCTTAATCCTAAGACCTCAAATTGCTTATTTTAGAAATAAAAATGCAGGTGGGAGTTCATTGTAAAATGAAGCAGCAATGATTCCAGCATGTACATTTCTGCTTTACATTCCTAGCCAGAACATAAAAATGACCAGAGAGCGTCATCAGTGCCAAGCTAAGAAAAAACAAACCAAAAAAAATGGAACCACCATGAAGATAATGCCACATTAAAATCTCTTTCTCTTGATAATTTCTGGCTTCCAGCTGACAGGATGTGTCTCTTCCGTCTAAAAGCAGAAAAGTAAATAAGTCAAAACAAAGTATGATGAGCTTGCTTCATATTTAGTAACTTCCTGCTAACAAAAATAAGGCATATATTCTAAATTACATTATTTGCCATTATACATTTAGCAGTTCTCTAACAATTTTAGGAATACTTGACAAACCTGACATTAGGGGATCCATAAAGGATGAGGGGTTCACTACAAGTTGAGTTTATGGTTCATCTCAAATAAAATTGCTATTTACACAAGCTAAGAACAAGCTTCCAATTCTAGAATTTGTATAGCAACCAACAGCTGATTATTATACTTTAACATGTGAAATATAGAACTTACCGCTGTATCATCCTCTCTGTACACTTTAATGGTTTTATCAGCTTCCGCTGTTAGCAACCGACTTTCAGATTGATCAAAAGCACAAGCAAATATTCCTGATTCACTATCCAAAGACCCAGGTTGCACAGCTGCATGAACTCTCTGGAAGTTGTAGCCAGTTCTCCAGTCCCAAAGATGCATAGTGCCATTGTCAGCTTAAAGGGAAAGAGCTGGTTAAACTTGTACTCTTCAACAATTCAGCCTGATAAACATTAAACACCAACCATTAGCCAAGCACCAGGGCAACAACTATAGTTATAAAACTAGATATAAAGGCACTCAAGCTTCTCTTTGTCCACATTCATTGGTGTTTATTCTGAATTTATTTCAGAGCTCAATAAACATAAAATGATATCCAATTCAGAATACAAAACCAAACTTTAGTCAATTTCTAGCACAAATCCCTAACTTAGACTTACTATGTGGGCACTCAAAGACAGCTAAAGGATGAACTATGCTAGGTGCACTCTAAATATGCATGAACACGCACGAGCATTCAAATATACTTTAATCAGGCAAGTTTCGCAGTAATACTTAAGTGTGGTAGCTAATAATTTTACACATTTACTGAAGAAAAAAATGAGACTAAACACATCATGAAAATCTTATTTTACCTCCAGACACTAGGACTCCATCAGAATTTACCGTCAATGTATTAATAATAGCATTATGACCAGAAAGATTCTGAATAAAACTTCCATCAGGGAATTTCCACTGTTTTATGTTATCTGGAGAACCGGATGCAAATGTATAACTGAAATAAAATTAGAAAGTATTAATGACAAAGAAAATCAAGTTAAATAAAATGGTGAATTTTAAAAAGCTTGTTATGCTTGTGATACAATGAACAATAGTTGCAAAATGATGCACCACCTGTGGATGCTGTGGTCCCCACCAATTTTTTTAAATGTTTATTAACTTGCTCCTTGAAATTTAAAATATTCTGTGTGTATCTTACTGTCTAATAATATTTAAGTACAAAACATCAAATCTAGCCAGTATTTGTCTATCCTGACATGCAGCTTTTACTTAAAACTATACCATGATTTACTTAAATTGTTTCCTTTGACATTATTAATTTTCACCATGCAGAAAGCTTTTCTCAACTTAGATAAGGTATGCAGGGAAAATAAAAGAAATGCATGTTCGTAAGTAGCACAAGGTAGACGTGACAGTGGCTGAATGACTATCAAAAGTAGGTCAAATGTTGGTATTTCAGTAATAACAAGAAGTTAATCAAGAAAATACACTTACTGTCTTGGATGTAAAACCACAGCCCTGACTGATTTCTTGTGATTTGTTAACGTGACCCTTGTTTTTCCAGCCACCAAATCCCACAATCGTATCGTAGTGTCATGGCTTCCTGTAATGAAAATACACACACAAAATAAAGATCAGAAAAAAGAATGCAAAGGTTAACTATACTAAAATATAAAACATTCTTCCACAGACATGTAAATTTAAATACAAAGTATCATCACCTCTTGGCTAAATGCTTTAAAGTTCAAATGATTTGAAATTGTAGGCTGACTTAATTCTTTTTTTTTTTTTTTAAAGATTTATTTATTTTTATACAGAGCTGGGGTATAGGCCAGAGGTGCACGGGATGAAAGGATTCACCAGAGACAGACCAGGGAGCAAGCAGAACAGGCAGACAATCTGAGGGGAGCAGCAGGAGCGACAGAAGAGGTCTGCCGCGCCATGTGGGAAATCTCCTTGGCCGGCCAGGAATCGAAACCGCGCTGCAGAGGCTGCAGACAGCCTCACAGCGCTGAGCTCAACCCGTTGCGCCACCGGGGAGGCCCGACTTTAATTCTTAAAATACTCGATGCACTGTCTTTTGAACAGCTAGGAGAAATGCAAGTATCAAGTGACACAAATACATGCTAATATCCCCTAGTAAAGGGAAAGGCGATTTTTTAAGTTAATAAAATGTATCATGTGAAGGAATTATTTTCTAGTGTTAGAGTAAATATTCACTGCTTGAACTTCATTTTAAGCAAAGGATTCAAACAATATTGGTAAACATTATTGGTCTCCATCTTCTTCTAACTCCAATTTCTCATAGCAGTAATTTTGACACTGAAACAAAGTTTAAATGTATTACCATTTTCTAATCAGGTGTTGTAAGACACTGCTGCACATGACATATAATAGGTAAAAAGTATGAGATTAAAAATTACACAATGTGTTACCACATAACATGATGAATTTCAAATGCACAGAGAATCACAGTACAAAGCAAGAGCCATAGAGAAGAGGAAAAGTACACGTATAATCATAATGGCACACTGCACTCCAGTGGGAATACACTGCAGACTTTTAAATTATTAGTCGTACCAGTAATAATTTGTGGTTCGGCTGCTTGACACCTCACCGTAGCAACTGCATTTGTGTGTCCAGATAATGTGTGTACGCTGGCTTTTGTTCTCACATCCCAAATCTGTAAAACACAATAGTCGTACTGTCAAAGAAAAGAGTGTTCATATCTCAGGCAGGAAACTAGATCAATTCAAGGCTGGGAAGTTGTTAGACAACTGTGCCTGAGTATAGATGAAGTGCACAAATGAAAGATAATCTGTAAGGTGGCAGGAGAATGCAGAGAGGGAGCAGGGGGCAAGAAATACAAAGAGCTATAAAGATCAGCAGACGGTAAGCCTGAGGACAGCTACAACAGGAACACTGAATGAAACAGCTCAATGGAAGTAGCTGAGACAGAATGAATGTGCCTGTGGCACTTCTGGGGCAGGGCACTCCCAGTAACAAACTTGGTAACTCCCTCAAACTGGAGATGAAGATGGAAAAAATAGCCAAGAAACTGAGGGACCAGGGTGTTGGTGGATCAAGGCAACCATCTTTCATTCTCTATCAAACAATATGACTCTAGTATCAAACACCACAAGACACAATACATTTCCAGATAAACACAAAACTCTCTCCCACTCACCCGTGCAGTTGAATCTCGACTACAGGTTACCAGAACATCAATTGTTGGGTGCAAATCCAAACCATACACTGCACTGAGATGTCCATGATAGTGCCTTATAACCTAAACATAAGCAGGAAAAGTTAAATTTTCTATAATTAGAAAGATAAACAGTGGCTCACAATGTTTTAGACCATCAGCTCCAAGCTTACCTTATTATATTCAAGATCCCAGCATTTGACTTGTTTGTCTTCTCCACAGGAGAACAGGTAGGGGCTCCTGGTGCTCACTATCACACCACGCACTGTGCTGATGTGCCCAGTTAATGACAGCTTCAATTTGCCACTAGCCAAGTCCCAGATCTGCAATCAAAGAATAGTTTGTTTTTCTTCTTATTGGTTATACCAAAGCAGATTTTTAGCATTTTAATGTTAAAATTGTCTTCAAACAGAGAAAAATACAATGATATAAAAATTTTAAACTTTGGGGCTCCCTGGTAGAGCAGGGGTTGAAGTCTCAGCACTATCAAGCCATCGCCAGCCACTACGGCATGAGTTCCACCCCTGGCTGGAAAGCTGACCCACATGGCACAGCAGACATCTCCTGTCTCACCTGCTGCTCCCCTCAGCAGTGTAGTTCAGTAGATCCATCTGTTCTGCTCCCCACTCTCTCTGGTGAATCCTCACCCCCACACCTCTGGGCTACACCCCAGTTCTTGTATACATAAATAAAAAAATAAATTACCTTTAAATTTTGCAAAGTAACCCCTTCTCCCCAAGTAAAAGCCAGGAAAAAGAATCAGGAAAAGTAAGCGAAGGGGCCTCCCCTGGCGGCGCAGTGGTTGAGCGCTGGGCTGCGAAGCTGCCCGCAGTCTCTGTAGCACCGGTTCGAATCCCCGGCTGCCGGGCGAGGGTCCCACATGGCGTGCAGACATCTCCTGCCGCCCGTTGCTCCCCTCAGCAGTATACTTCGTCGGTCTGCCTGTTCTGTTCCCCGCTCTGGCTCTGGTGAATTCTCTTACCCTCCCGTGCTTCTGACTGTACCCAGTGCTTGCATAAATAAATAAATAAATCTTAAAAAAAAAAAAAAAAAAAAAGACACTAAAACTGGGAACTATTTGCAACAGATGACAAAAGGTTAATATTCATCCAAATATGTGCCGGTGCTAAGATTATGTAAGGGTGTAAGTTCTTTCATAATTCTCCGTATTTTCTGCATTTTTTAATAGATGAACATGCTCTAATTTTGTAACCAGAAGGAGGGAAAAAAGTTATTGCGAAGGAATTAGTAATAGTCAGCACATACTGTTTGGAAAAAACCTGTTTAAGTATCAAGTTATTCGAACAGTTATTTATTTGAAACTTTTAACTGGGAAACAATACATTTTATTTCATACTCAGGTCTAAGAAATTAGAGGAACTATTGTACATCAACAATTTCCATCAAAGGAAACAAAATAGATTACATTTACATAGCAAACACCAACGGTGTTTATTTTTTTCTTCCTTCCATATTACCTTTATAGTTCTGTCAGCAGAGCCAGTAACAAACCACTGATTTCCAGGTTCCACAGCAATGCAGCGGACCCAGCCCAGATGCCCGCTGATCACCTGTATTTAAACAAACGGTAGAATGGGCCAACTCATAACACACAAGTTAAAGTTTATTCAACTTCAACCATAGCTATAAGTAGGGTTTGAATTGTCCCCATTATCTTCGAATAAGATCAGTATATGAACTAAAACTATACATGTTCTAGTTTCAATCTGGTATATTTTGAATCATTTTAATTTACTATAATACAAAAGTTAACCAGTAAGATTTGTGATTCATATTAAATAACCTGAACACTTTTCCCAAATTTCAAAAATTTATTTACTCTGATCTCCAACTTAGTAGCCTTCTACCTACATTTTATCCTGGATTCTATATAAAACACAAGTATAACTTTACTTAAAGAAGCCGCCTTCCCAAGATACCTTTTTTGAGATAGTTTCTAAGCCCCCTCCTCATCCCATCTGGGATGACTTTACCAGTTCTCATATCCACTCCTTTTCCTCCTTAGCTACTCCTTAGCTCTTGTCCCCGTGGAAGCCGGGGGGCAATATGCAAACGAACTCACCCTGTAGAGCTTCCAGGGCGGGTGCCACTGGGGTTTCGGCATGGTAGGGGCTTTTTTAGCCATCAGGGCAGAGTTCTTGGCGTTGCCACCCTCCATAACCTACCGGAACAGATGACATTATTAGTGAAGACAGCATACCTAAGGTTTCATGTGGTCAACAGTTTCCTTCCTTATATGAAAAGACAGCTAAAATCAAAGACTTTTAGTCAAACTATATTTTGTTTGATAACTTTAAGAAGCAGTTAAATTCAGAGGTAGAATATCAGAGTTAAGGGGCCCACACCATTGTGCATGGGTAGAAAACTCAGCTCTGCCAATTACTGGGATTGACCTTAGTAAAAATTATGTAACCTGTGCCTCACCTGTGAAATGGAAAAAACAGTACCTAACTCACAGTTAACAGTAATAAAGGTCCATGTAAGAAGCTCTGATTGCTAGTTAGGCCAGAAGTGGATTAACGCCACTGCCTCTCGCTGTCATATTTCAACATTACTGATTTAATATTGTAAAACGACTAATAGTTACTGCTATTTATCTGGTCTCAAAATATTTACACACTATTTTAAAGGTTATCCTGGCTGATCCATCATCAGCTGTTAGCATATATCTAATCATTCAAAAAATATTTATGATCAAAGAGGTCCTGCCCCCAAGAAGCTTACATTAAATGTTTCTAAACAGAAAGTCTGGGCAGAGACCTGCGAATAGAAGGTAATGGAGGAAATGTAGAGCTACAAATCCACTTACTTCATAAAGTCAAATCAACTGCATAATAAACTGAGGTGTTAAATCTTGTACTATTTCAAGAGGTAGCATAGTAAACTGTCTATTTTGTTATTCTTTCTATAACTACTGTTACAATAGCTACTATTCTACCTATGGATAAATATATTTCTAAATGATCGTTTTTAAGGCACTAGTTGGGTAGCTCATGAATATTACCACATTAAAAGCTCTCAACTCTATATAAACCAACTGAGTATTTAAAGACATTCCAACCTAACACACACTAATACAGGATTACAAGTTTCAGAATAGTCCTTATATTTCTAATAATGGATAATAAAAAACACTATCACATCATCTTCATCAAAATAAACATTATGTACAATATACATATGGGACCAGATTTAACAAAATTTTAAATTCTAAAAAGCATGTCAATTCATTAGCAACTTATACTTCAGGTTATTAAATACTAACAATGAGTGCAGGCTACTTACTTGAACAATTCCAAGAAAAATGTTCATTATTTAATATTTAAAATAATAGTTGGGATTAAGAAAAATAAGGCAACAGGTTCCAAAGTTAGAAATCAGAAGCGTGACTGGACAGAGACACCTACAGCAGTCATGCCCGCAGGCTGTGAGCGGTCGGCGGCCCCAGGATGTCGGTATTCACCTCCAGCAGCTGTGCTGCGATTTGCGTCCACCCTGAGACAAGAAAGTCAGCACATTCTAAGTACCTGATGCGTCCAGTCACCTATTCTGCATCATATATATTTAAATTTTTGTAAGCATGGATAAATGAAAGTATCATGTGATACATGAAATCATAAACAGTAAACTACACTTTCAAAATGCTCACATTTCATACCTAGCCTGATTAGCAGGTAACGCCACAGCTAAGGACTGTGCAGCTGATTCACTTGGCATTCTTTGGATCTTAGTATCTGCTGTCAAAGCAACCCCTGTTAAAAAAAAAAAAAAATTGATTCCTGTTAGTACAAGCTATCTTTGGTTTCATTTACAAGCATTTAAAATAAAAAACTGGAAGAAAACATACAAAAAGATAACAGTGATGCTCTCTAGGAAGTGACACTATGAAAATCTTGATTAAATTTTCCACGATGTCTTTCGTTTATATCTTTTTTACAATAAACATAGCTGAACAACACTTAACAAATCTGATGTAATCACAAACAGTTTGGTATTAAAATAAGTAGTAATGTTAGAATTTTCATTTTTAAACTTTTAAAATTTCTATTATCTTGGGATATTATCTTCAGATATAGAAATTAAGCAGCTCTCCAAATACTAACAAAATGTTTCCAAGAGAAAATGTAAATGACTACAACAAAAGCATTGACTTGCCTATATTCTGACTATGGTAAATCCTGTCTTCTAAAATTACTAAAACCTACATATAATAAGCTTTTGCCCTCTACCCTGTTATAGTGGCACTTCATTTGTGTACTAATTTTCTTACACACATAAACATACCATGATAGAGTTCTGTCCTGTTTCTATACTAACGCATCTATCACTTTTATAACTTATAAAAACTAAACTCCATATATACGTTTGTCTTAGCCTGCAGCAGTCTTACTATCTTTAAATTTCTAACACAGTGCCTGAAAAATTATAGTTGCTTAAAGAAAGTTTGCTGAATGAATGCATGTGACACTGAGCATTAATTTTCAGATAAAAAGTTATGCCTGCCTATTGAATTTAGTCTGTATTTTATAGGCAACAGGAATCATATTATTGGCTAATTCATGGAAATACAAGTGACAATGAGACATTTTCAAAGTCCAACAGCTTATTTACCTGGGCCTGGTGGGTATGGATGTGTACCTGTCACCAGATATTCAACTTCTTGTCCTTTAAAAAAAAAAAAAGAAAAAAAACTGATCAATGACAGATATATTTACACATGTATTATCTCTTAATGAATTAAATAATATTGTCAACTGGATTTTTCTCATTTTCCCAGCTAAACCCAAGCCTCAGAAAATAGGTCATGTTTGTTTTGACTTCTAATGGACATATACACAGCTAGTCCTTGAAGATTTGCTGAAATGATGTCAAAAGACCTTGTGTATTTGCTACACAGTACTGGTAGTACATCAAGTAACAATCTACTCTGGTGTTTCTTTCAAGAAAATGATTTCCCTATGAAATCTTCTATTATCTTTATACACTACCATTTCTATACTTACTAACATCTCTCTGAATTAAGCCAGAATAGATAAGATAACGTCCCTACAGTTTAGGAGGTTTTCTTTTAATCCCCACTATGACCTTCTCCATATCCTAAGACTGTCTGCCATCATTATAACACTTTGTTATTTCCTATAAGAAAAAAATCTGCCAATCATTTTAATCATTCTCCCAAGAGGCAATCAAGACTTCTATTACCATTATGGTACAGCTTGAAACAGGGCATGGCTTCCAGAAGGGGCACAACTGACTTTTTCTAGTTCTAAAATTCTGAGGTAAGTTCTGGCATTTCTTTTTTTTTTTAAGATTTATCTATTTATTTATACAAGCATTGGGCACAGTCAGAAGCGTGGGAGGGTGAGAGAACCCACCAGAGCCAGAGCTGGGGACAGAACAGGCAGAAGGACCGAAGCATATTGCTGAGGGGAGCAGCGAGCGGCAGGAGAGGTCTGCGCGCCATGTGGGACCCTCGCCGGTGGCTGGGGATCGGACCAGTGCTGCAGAGGCTGCAAGCAGCCTTGCAGCCCAGCGCTCACCCGCTGCGCCACCAGGGGAGGCCCAGTCCTGGCATTTCTGATCCCACCACACTCACCTTGATTGGCAGGATACTGTTTATGACCATATGAATCTGAGGCATTCTGAGGGCCCTTGTCTTTAAAATTTTCTTTCGACGTAGGCATGTGCAACACAGGACCATATTCATTGCGCAGCTTGATAGCCATTTTTCGTTTGTGACTATTTAGAAATCATAAACATAAGAATGTATCTTTGAGTACTTTAAATATTATTTGCCACTATAAATATAGTCACAGGTAGCCAGGAAGAAAATACTTAAACTTGCCTAATCCTGTAGAAGGTTTCTATGAAGTTTTTGAGAAGTATTTTTAAAAAGCTCAAAATTTCCAAGTGCATTCACACACTTTGTTCCCAATCTACCCCCTGGCATCTATTAAGTCTAAGTAGTATTTTTGTAAGTTAGTCAATAAATATAAAATCCCTCATAGTGAGTTATTAAGAGTCTAAAAGGTGTAAAAATATTTAGAAATTACTATCTCTAAAAATACCTCAAAGTCAATATACTTTCTTTCAAATGTCTAAATACAAAAACAGAGTAAAAGTTCTGTAGAAACTTTTAATGGATGTATCTAAGAAGATTACAACAAATCAAAGTACTTAATTAGTTCATTATTTTAAAAAGGAAATACACATATTAATTTGGAGACTAGGCCACTTTGCAAATCAAATATAACTGCTTGTGTGAGGAACTAAGATTTTAAACAAAGGGTAAAGATCAAAGAAGGAACACTGCACATAACACAATCCCAGTCTGATGCTGGAGATGGAGAACCAAAAACATGCTACCACTCAAAAATTCTCCATATACTAACAAGAAAAGATGGGAGTAGAGGCACTGGCCAGGTACAATTTCAGCTCAGCAAGGCTCTGAGAGCAGCAGGAAGCTGAACGCACATACAAAGTGATTGATTATAAAATATAACACCTGAAAGGGACTCTCCTAATTACTGGTATTTGTAAAATGTAACTAATTAATAGGATTTTTACTATAAAGATTAAGGCCAAAAAAAGGAATTAAGTCAGCTTAAATTATAGCAAAACACTACTCATTAATGAATAGATATCCCATGAGCGCTAGTATTACTCAAAAATCTTTAAAGGTCCTCCTCTTCCTGCTCTCTGCCCCAATATTGGAAGTTTAAATATTCTAGAAATTAAAAAGAAATTATACTTACCTATCTTCATCCAAAGGCACAGGTTTTCCATTATCAGCTACAAACATGTCATGGGTCCTCTTCAAAGACCTGAACACAAGTGTGTGCACAGAATGTTTCTGTACCTCCTAGAAAGAAAGAGTATAATTATACATCTAGCAACAAATTACTCATATGACCTAAAGTCAAATCATTTACACACTTTACATGTTTAAATACATAAAAAGCTTTACATCGCTCACCATAGTTACTCCTAGCGAGCTATAAAAGTCAAGTTCAGAGAAGAGGAGGAAATTCCTCTTTGGTCAATTGAGTGGTACCTGAAGTTGGTCATTTATTTAATATTTATTGATTTCCCTACTATTTGTTTGGCAGGCATTGTGTTTGAAATTAACAACAGAATGATGAAAAAGCAGTCCTCTGTACTCAAAAGGAAATAGATAAGTAAATAACTCCACATTCTGACGCGTTAGGACTGAAACAAGCAAAGGACTGAGACAAAGAACTTAGAAAGGTTATGAAAGACCTATGAGGAGATATCTAAGCAGAATGGGAGAAAAACTTGCACAGAATAGACACTGAAAAAAGGCATGAACGACCCAGGCAAAGGGCAAACACCCAGCATGGAAGGTATTCAATAACTGAAATAATGTCAGGAGCTGCAGTTGTGTACGTTTGGTGAGAGTGCATTGGGATGCAAAATGAGTTTGCAGAAGTAGGTAAGATCCACAACAGTAAGGTTTTTTAGGTTACCGCAAGAGGCGATATTTTTTCCACGAGCAACACAGCGACAGTATACGGTTTTAATCGAGAAATGCATGACGAACATTTGAAACACATCAATGGGGGAGGGGGTCGGTTTACAAAAATTGAAGCAAGGAGACCAGCCTGGAGCCAATGCACCAATAGAGGCAAAAGCTGATGTTGGTTTGAACTAAGATGATGGCAAAGAGTTTGGAGAAAAGGCAAAAAATATTCCTGAGATAAAATAGACGAGGTTTGCTAATAGAATGGTTGCTCAAGTACGGAAAGATGCAAATATTCAAGAGAGTAGGTTATCCTGGAGCCGACGTGAAGTAAAAGAACAGTGGAGATGAGAAGCTCGCCAGGCGTTCAGGCCACAGAACCAGACACTGCCCGGCAGGCGGCGGGTACCAGATGCCCCGCCTCGGGCAGTGCCAGCTCCCAAAGTCAAGTGAAGACTGGGGGAATTATCTCAGGCTTCAGAGAAAAGAGCCTCCGCTCCTCGAAATGCGGAAAGGCAAAACCTCCAACTCCTGCTCTCATCCGGCCTCTCCCGGCCCCTGAAATCCTTAAGAAGGGACCATCGGCCTCGGCCAAGAGCCTCCCCTGGCAGCCGCTACGCCACCCCACAAATGCCATCACCCTTGATCGCTTCACCCGCGGTCAATCAATGCACAAGCAAAAGACTCCCGTGCACCGCCAAGTGTCCCTTTACCTCGACCATGATGCGGCCGCGTACTCCGCTGCTCCAGCAGGGAGGATACCCTGGGCACCAGCACAGAAACCGCCGCCACAGGTGGCAGCCCCTTCCGGAATGGGCGCCCTGGCGCAGGATGTGACGCAACTCTGCGCACGCGCGCTGCTCGCCAGCGGGCCGCCGGGGGTCAAGGGGCGGGCCTTCCTCCTCCGTTCGCCTCCGGGGCGGAGTCTCAGGGCTGGGGGGCGGGGCTTGTGGAAGCGCGGGCTGGAATGGTCGGGGCGCTCCCTTAGCTGGTCTTGGGGTCGTGTTTGCAGACCTCTCCTGTCTCGCCCGCTGCTCCCCTCAGCAGTGTTTTCCAGTCGGTCTGCCTGTTCTGGCCCCCACTCTATCTCTGGGGATCCTCTCGCCCCCCCCACTTCTGACCTGTACCCCAGTTCTTGTATGCATAGATAAATCTTTAGGGCAAAAAAAAATCGCGTTTACTCTTGGTATTAAAGGGTTTGGCTTATAGTTGCGGTTGTTTGCGCGGAAACTTAATGCTTTTCTTTAGAGAACCGACGAAACCAGTTCTTGGGAGGGGCTGGAGAGAGTGACCCTGGTTAGAGCAAAGGCTCGCCCACGGTCTGGAACTCCAGGCCTTTCCCTCCGGCAGTTCCACATCTTGGTTCCATTGGGCTGGAAGTGTTGTAGAAATAAATTCTAGGCTTTTACCCAGGCGGAGGAAGAGCAAGCGGTGCTTCAGGAATAGTGAGGTCCGGAGAAGCTTTATTACTCATGCATGAGGTCCCAGATCTGGGTAGCCCGCAAGGTCTGAGCACCCAACTGTGTCCTTATCTGTTACATGAATAACATCGTGTTTCAGCAGACACAACCACTTGTGGCAAAGTCCCCAAACAAGGGGGTCAAGGCAAGGCAAGGGGGGAAAGATGCAGGCATTCAGGGATGGCCTGGGAGAGAGAGATCAGCTTGGCCCCCTGCCTGACCTTGTAGATAAGAGTGCTGAGGCCCTGGCCATGAATCTTGAAAGGGAAGGAGCTGTAAGTAAGCAAATGTGTTGATTATGCCTGCATTGTAATGTTCATTGCACCTGGACTGGAAGTTCTGCTGGAATCTTTATTATATTCCTTTGCTCAATAATATATTTTCTCGTCAGAATCATTAACCTTAGCATCCGAAAACAATTGTACTTGCACTGTCCAGTAAATAGTTGTTGAGTGATTGTTTAAATTTGAGAAGTTTTGGAAAAGACTTTTGTTTCAACAACATAGTGTAAAAATCCCACATTTCTTTTTGCTATATAAATTAAAAAAAAAAAAAAAACACACACACACACACAAACCTCTCCAAACTGCATAACTCGGTTATTCCAAGTTGTCTGCTAGTTAGTGGAGCTCAGCAATGCCACCAGCTTTGAAAAGTTGTGGAAGAGGACACAACTAGACAGTTAAGCTATTTTTTTTTCCTGTTTTGCATGTCCTGTTGCCAAATTGTTGGTATTTTGTTCTGATTTCTGTCCAGGTAAAATCTGCAACTTGCTATCAATACTGTTCATTTATTTTTCTAAGTGTAAAGAACAATTGATGATGTTGTATATTGGCAAACCTGAGTAATAAGATGTTTCACTGGCTCTGCTTCCTCCTCAACCATAATCAGTTCTACTGATCCTGTCCCCAGAACATAATGCATACATTTGAGAGGGGATTTTAAAAATCACAAAAACAAATCAATGTAAAAAAAAAAGCATAACAATGAGTGTTGATCATCTCATTGGAAACAATAACATTACAGCCGTGTTTCCACTTGAAAAGATAATCACCTCTGATTCAGTTTGACCAAAGAACTGATATTCTCTGGCCACTGGTGGTAGGCTGTGCAAGGAAATGCCTAATTATAAAACATATACTTGATAAAGTAAATCATATTATAGTTTACTTACAGATAGTAATAACTATACAAAATAACATGATTTTTAAATGGCAAATTATAGAAATGTAAAGATTCTATCTGTGGCAATGGAATAGCTGTCTAATTGGATGTATTAACTTGTTAAATAATCATCCTGGGAAATTTTTATAATCCCATATTTGAAAAAAATGCTCCTCTCAGCTATTACCGGAGAAATACAAATAAAAGCTACAATGAAATGTAACCTCACCCCTGTGAGAATGACTTGTATCAAAAGACTTGGAAATAGCAAGCATTGTCGATCATGTAGAGAAAAAGGAACACTATCTACTGTTGGTGGGAGTGTAATCTTGTGCAGCCCTTATGGGAGACAGGATGGAGATTCCTTAAAAACCTGAAAATGGAAATACCATATGATCCAGCAATACCAGTATTTACCCAAAGAAGATGAAAACACTGGTACAAAAAATTTAGGCACTTTTATGTTTTTAACAGCATTATTCACAATTATCAAGTCATGGAACCAACCTAAAGGTCCACTGTAGGCAAGTGAATAAAGGAGTTGTGGAATATATACTCAGTGGGCTACTATTCAGCTTTTAAGAATGATAAGTAGTGCCTTTTGGACCAAATGGATAGATCTTGAGGTCATCATGCTAACTGAAATAAGTCAGAAAGTAAAAGACAGTTACAAATGGTTTCACTCTTTTGTGGAATTTAAGTAACCAAAACAAACAACAACAACAACAACAAAACTGTCAGGCACAGCAGTAATTCTTAGTCTTTTAAAAATAGGCTGGTTATCTGAGCGCACTGGGAGGGGAGGGAGCAGGAGATAGCAGAAGAAGAGGATAGGATAACGGCCCTGGAGTTTTGGTGGCGAGTGAGTGAAGATGTACAATAAGGGAACTTATACTTCATAAATTGCAAAGTTATGTGACTAACTGGCAAAAACAAAAAGCCCTTCCCAATCCTTATCCTGACACCCCAGCTGCCTTATTTGGGCAGCAGGGGTCACTACTGCACTTCATAAAGGTATGAGTTTCCCCACAGTAATCTGAGGGTTTGTTCTTCCATTTGATGCCTGGGAAGCTCTTGGGCATAATTAAGTTCCACTGTTAGTTATGAACATTTTAGCATTGTTATCATTTGCAAAAAAAAAAGGGGGAGGTTATTGACAGAAAAACTTCTGAACATCAATAACTAAGATTAAGGCATTTTTATTATTTTAAGATTTTACTTATAATTTAGGCTCTTTTGACTTTCATTTACAACTATACTACCAGAAGCCAGCATCACATTGAAAGCATTCTTACTACTAGGTCACAATACAAAGATTCCCACTATCATCATTATTTTAAAAGCATTTTTTTTTCTCTGAAAATACTAGTCAAACGAAATCAGCTGAGAGAAAAAATAAGTGTTGCAAAGTAGAATAAGGAAGGAAAACCACCTCTATTTGCAAATGATGTAATTGTATTTGCCCCCAAAAATCAACAACCCAAATAATCAACTGGAAAAACTATAGTAAAGATAAAAGACTTTGTTAAAATATCTGAGTACAAAACTAATCATTTTAAAATTCGAAAACTTTCAAAAAAGCAGTTAGAAAATGTAATGGGATGGGGTACAGGGGTTAAGTCTCAGCACTATCAAGCTATCACCAGCAACTGTGGCATGAGTTCAATCTCAGCCAGGGAGTTAAACCACATGGCACAGCAGACCTCTCCTGTCTCACCCGCTGCTCCCCTCAGCAGTGTATTCAGTAGATTTGCTTGTTTTTCTCCCCACTCTGTCTCTGGTGAATCCTCTCACACACACCCCCACCCCCAACACCTCTGGCTTATTCCCCAGCTCTTGTATGCATAAATAAATAAAAATAAATCTTAAAAACATAGATATGCAATGGGGGGAGATCTTATTTATAACAGTAATAAGTGAAAAATGTGCAAGACCTGGGAAAAAATTAAGGAGCATAAAAATATTTAATCATGAAAATAGATGCCTTATTCTTGGATAGAAAGACTCAAAATTGTAAATTATAATTATAAATTTTAAATATATAAGTATATAGCATTTTAATTTACTGCTAGGCACATTTTACAGAAAATTTGTTAATTTAATTCAAGACATATTTATCAAATAATAAGAGATTTCTAAATGAATATTATAAAAATACTTCACGCAAAAAAGTTCATTATATACAGTTTTATGGCTGATACCATGCACTTAATGTAGAAAATTGTACATGATTTACTACACTGCTTGAAAACACAGCTTCTCCTTCTAATGTGTAATATATGCTTTAAAAACATAGTCTGATTAGTAAACATTTAATCTTAATTTTCTTTTTGGGCTAGTTCAACAAACTCAGAAGTCATCTCAGCCTAGCCTACCAAAAGATAAAAGTGTGGGGCTTTGTACTTTTGGAAGGACATCAGGTGTCTCACAGAATCAAAAGAAAAATCAAATGATCAACTTTAGAAAATTGGGTTACTTCTGCTAAAGCTGTGAGTCTCAGTAGAATGCTGAGATGATGCGCCATTGACCTAACTGCTTGTTTCCTTTCCAAACATTGAATTGTGGGAGAGGGCTGAGTTGATTGGGCTGGATAAAGTCTGTACCCTTGGCTCAGTTGGCTAGAGCATCAGGGTATCATAATATTAATAGGATCACGAGAGCCCCACTCCTGCATTTTCGGGGTCATTCCAGGTACTTGTTACACACATCATGACTTTGAGTCTCCGTGTGACACACTGAGACCATCTCTCTTTTCTCTAGCTCTTGTGGCTGGCATAGGGTAGAAGAAGAAGAAAATAACCATGTTCTCTGTCAGTTCCCTTAACCAAAATGACATCTTCCAAGTCAGAGGGAGGCTCTTCTCAAGAAACAAGATGGCGCATGCATCATGATTTCCCACTGAGGATCACCACACTGGCCTTAGGTTTACCCATTAAAACTCTTTTACCCATTAAAGCTGCTTTCTGGCTTTTCAGTATTAATTTCCCTTTGGATAGTTGTTCCCGAATGCTTGCTCAGGGAAAGACAAGAAAATACACACTGAGACTAACAATGATTTAATATAGTATCTCAAAATTTATGTCTTTTTAGACAAAGAATCAGTATATACAGTGTTCATTCAATCATTCACTCACTCCTGCTTTCATAAACTTGTTCAACAAATATTTATCAAGTACATACCATGTGCCTGGGGTGTGCTATAAATCATCAATTCACACCACAAGCTTTAAGTCTAAAGCTTTTATCTTTCTAGTTACATTTTGCTCTGAGGGAGGTGAGGTACCCGATTACAGTTCCCAAGGCCTTGGCCTTTCCTGTCTTCGGCTCAGGACATGTTAATACAAGTAGTTTTCATTTCCTGTCCTCTCAGGATAAAAAGCGTCATGAGGCCAGAGCGCTTATCTATCTTGAGCACCAAAATGCTCGTTCCCCAGTACACTACCAGCCACAGAGCAAATGCACTAGAAAAGATTTGATGAATGCAAATTGCCTGTGCCCTATAGACTGGGCTTGACATGAATTGGAAAAGTATCAACAGTGCATTAACAAGAAAGTTCCGCAGGATTGCTCTTCCCACCAGAAAGCTGCGAGGCAGGACAGATTATCTCTGTTTTCTCTGTCACTGATTTACTGCCCTTGACTTGTGTAAGGGCATCAGCTAATACGAAGATCACTGCACTAGTGACCTGAAAACATAGCTGAACAAATAGTACTCCCTTTCTGCTCCACCAATGGGATCAACATTTTAAAAATGTAGGTATTCTATTAAGAAGAAACTCTCTTTGAAAACACGGTACTTTTCTTATTGATATTAGGCACTTTAGAGTGTTGATATAGTTGCACATAACTATTTTTAAGAAACTCTAACAAGAACTAAATGACAGCAACTTACAGCTATTTTCACTACATTGACCACAGTTGGTGCACAGATGTCAATATCCACACCCACACTGTATGCAAGGGGGGAATAAAGATGCAGCATGAAGGTGTCAGTCTGAGACACAAAAAGGCTGACATGATAGGCTAGCCAAGGAAACAACCACGACAACCAAACAAACCAAAAAAGGTACAGGGCAGTTCTTTATAATGTTTATATTTTGTTAGGCAATGTAGTGTAATGGGCTCAGAGCCTGGACATTAGGGGTAGGCAGATCTGGCTCAAGTCCTGAGAACAGAACTTCCAATCTGTATGCCTTGGGCAGTTTACTTAACCTCTCTGAACCTCAGTTTCATTATTTGTAGAACTCAGTGGTTTCAAGAATTAATTAAGACAAACGACTATCAGAGCTTGGCATCTGACACATGATTCAATGAAGGCCGGTTCACTCATTCATTCTATAATTTTTATTGACTACCTGCCATGTCTATCTTGCTCGCCAGTGCTTTCCCAGCTCCTCAAACAGTGCCCGTCACAGACCAGGCTTTCAAGAACAGTTTGTGCAATAAATGTTACAGCTCTTACGGAATGTACATTATAGCAGTTGCTTTTTACCTCCTTGCTGCTGATGAGAAGAATGTCAGAATAGGAAAGGGTGTGACTATAAAGGAATATTCCTTTAATGCTGTACAGGGTTCTATATATGCTAGAAGAAACTTAAAAAAAAAAACCAAATTTCTGGAAATTAAATACTGATTCAATTGCTAGTTTGTGAATTATCAATGCCTGAAAGTGAATATGATATTACTGCAAAAGAAAAAAAAAATTGTTTTGGTCTTCCTAACAGGTAGGTAGTCTTTTTAAGTAACAGGAATCTAACATCATTAACCTAAAACCTTGTTCAGATTATTAAAGTAATTTTTTCTGTCACATTTTAAAGGGAAGAAGTCTTGTATCTTATTTCAATTAATACATGTGCATATATTTGCTCTCTCAGGTAGTTTATTCTCCCCCCAAATATTAAAATATTGAAACTAAAAGAACAATGCTTACTCACTAGTAGTAAATGGGGCAGAGATTTCAAAGAATCCAATCCAGCATTTTACTTACTTTACTTTTTAAAAAAAGATGTATTTATTTATGCATACAAGAGCTGGGGTGTAGGCCAGAGGTGGGGAAGGGGGTGAAAAGATTCACCAGAGACAGAGTGGGGAACAGAACAGGTGGATGGACTGAAATACACTGCTGAGGGGAGCAGCGGACAGGAGAGGTCTGCTGTGCCATGTGGGTGAGCCCCTGGCCTGGCCAGGGATTGAACTCGTGCTGCAGTAGATGCGGATTGCTTCATAGTGCTAACGCCCAACCCCTCTAGCCACCAGGGAGCCCCCTTCCTTCAAACTCAATATTTTGTTTCTATAAATCTGTTAGAAGAGTTTGGGATGAGAAGAGAAGAAAAAACGTAGTGGACCTTAAATTCTTATCAAAGTTCACTTGAACACAACGTCTAAAACATTCTCTCCTGCCAAATCTAAATGACCTATCTTTTCAATGAAATCATTTCAAAACCAGGAAATGCTATAAAGCACACTTCCTGGGATTTGTGCTGTTGACTTTGGTGCCCTGTTGATTCTTGTGGGAGTTGTTAATCCTGACTGCAAAAAGCAAATGAAAAGATGACAATGATGCATTCGGTGGCTTAGAGGAAATGATGCAAAAAAATGTGCCACATCTTACGTTTGGACATCTATTTTAAATAGATGTATGAAGGCTTCAGTGACATTAAAGTAACATTGTTTTATAGACAATATAAAATACAACATCACACAAAATATAAGCTATGATATAAAAATAAGATTTTAAATATGTATATAATCACCATAATAATATTATTATTATTATCACCATAATAATATTTTGATTTAGGAATCTGTAATCTACTAGTTATGTTAATAATGTTTAGAACTTATGGAACATTTTAACTTATATTAATAAAGGATAAAATATGAAAAGTGGTTAGAGCAAAAAGAGCAGATGACATTTCTTTTTCAAGTCTGTCAGAGATGAAGTCATGGATTGTAGTTTTATTTTTCTGATTAACATATAAAGAGAAAATAAACACATGGTGATATAACAATATTCTTGATTTTAGTGACACATTTTAAAACTGAATTACATAAATCTTCAAAACATAGAAAGCTCATAATGTTAGTTGATGCTTTGTGAAAGGTCCAGCTTTAAGTGCTTGGGTTAAAAATGTTTTCTTCCTGATGCATTTTCCATGAACTTTTGTAACATCCACATTCATTTTCAGGAAATGTGTGATACACCACTCTTTTAGGAATGTCTCCATTTCCCATCATATTGTCCAATGAAACTTCGGAGAACTTTTGAAGAACTTTGGAGATTCTAAATTCAGCCAACAATGAAGAACAGTTGTATGACAAGTAAATAGTCCTGCTGGGAAGATGTTGCTTAAGTGATAAAATGTTTCAGCCAACAAATGAACCCAAAAATTAAACATTAACTAAGGAAGGTAACCATTTCTAAAGTCATACCTAACTGAGCACACAGGTATATATAAGATTGAAGATCTCTCGATTAAGTCCACAAGCAAAGGATGTTTTCTTGGAACTTTGAAAAATTTAAAATCATGAAACATCTATTGCTGCTATTATTATGTATTTTTATAGCTGGGTCCCAAGCTGTCAGTGACTACGATGAGGTGACTTTAAACAAATTTATATTACTGCTATTTTGTTTTTAAAATATTGTTTTAAATATTTTACGTATTGTTACTAATATTAATATAAAATACAACTGAATGATATATTCAATCATATGTTAATATTTGCTTTAATGATATTTACATTGGTTTTACTTATGAATTGAATTGTTAATTCATAGAGCTGTTTTATTTGAAGAACACTAAATAGCATTTCTTATATAAAAGTGAAATAGTAATTTACTGTTTTCTGGTTTATTTCCTTTATTTACCAGGATGAAGAGCCCGGGTCTAAGGTAAGATGTACTTTCTCACTTGTTTTTCTGTGTTCCATGATTTTCGTTTAGTTCTAGCAATATGTTATATAAAATTAAAATGATAAAGATCTGAAAATTTTGCAAACCATAAAATAATAAGAGCAATATTTTCAAAGAAGGAAAAGCTTTGGTAACTTTACCGCTTTGGTAAAGGAGGGTGATATCTGATTCCTAAGATTACTGGCTATTTATGAATAAAAATTATCAGCTAAATATGAAAGCAGAATAAATCAAGCACAGTGATAGAATATGAAACAGTGCTCTTTTTAAATGAGAAATTTTACTATAGGTATTATTTATTGTTACCATCAATGCTAGGAAACATATCGTTTAGGTTGTTATTCATTTATACACTGGTTTTTCCACAAGTACTATCTTGGGTGATTTTTTTCCTATTGGTTTGAAGATATCACAAATACAGAAATGCATATAGGGAAATGAATATTTAATGAATGCTTATTTTATTATCAAATGATAATAAAATATTATCATTTTGTCATCAAATTTCTTGTATATAACATAATATTGTCACACTAGAACTAAGTGTACACAGTGATATTTAAATGAAGTGACTCATTTTGGAGCATTTGTTGAATTTGAAGGGAAGCTAATTGTTCTAATTATCAAACTATCTTGAGAGAGAAAGATAGTGATCTGGCTTGTTTATTTAGTAACAAAAAAGTTAAGTAAATAATGTATGAGAGCAAATTTTGATAAAGTATTAGGTTTTTATATTTGTGCTCACCAACAGAAATAGTTTAATAGTTTAGGCTCCAAAGTGGTTATGTCAGTAACTGGTATTCATAAACCTAAATACCCACACCATTTCTTTAAATATGTTTCATTTCCTTCTCTCTAGTAAAACTACACCATCAATACTACCTTTCTAAGGGCACTCTGAAGTAAAAGGAAATTATTCTTCTTTTGTTATAATTTGATTCGTAAAAAGCAGGTGAATCACATTTTACAAAATTCCTTAGAAGAGCTCAGGCTGGGATCGGAAGTCTTTGGTGTGAAATACGCAAATTTTCCCTAAGTCTAGGCACATCATGATTTTTATTGCAGTCACATAGAACAGATACAATAAGTTCAGTAGCTGAACACAGGTATTTGGAGCCAGCTTCCTGGGGCTTAAATCCTAGTACCTCCTATGCCCTTACACTTAAATGTTAAAGATTATAATCATTTAATTATTAAATGACAATAAAATCCATAGAGCCCTTCTATGACTCCTTAGCTTGCATAATAGCTGGATATCTCAGTCTCTGCTTGAGATTTAGTCACTTACTAATTTGTAATTAAACCCAATAGGACATAATTACAAAGATCAAATGGTGGTATAGTTGTTCAAGTAAAAACTTTTAAATTGCATTGCATGTTTTCACTTCACTATCTCTTACTATAACATATACATATTTTTTCTAAATACAAGAAAATCACAGTGCTTCATAAAGAAATCATATAGTAAATCCTGTGAGAATGGTTTAACATATAATTTTGTTGATAGAAAAAAATGAGATTGGAATTAACTGTAGAGAAGTCTCTTAACTATAGTATCTTTTATAAATGCTTCTAATAAAAACAGAAAGTATAGGTTATGTGGCAGGTACTCTCCTGACCTTATCAGATAAAATAAATAATTTAATCCTTATAGTAATCTTATGAGGCTGATGTTATTATATACAGCATTGTTCCTATCTTTCAGATAAGGAAACAGGACACATGTAAGTTAACTGGCCCCAGAGTTTATAGCTTGTAAGCGGTAGGGCAAAGCCCTGAATCCAAGCAAACTTGCCCCAGTGTCCTGTATTCCTCTTCAAACACATTTAAGTTAAAGGTTGTCTTATTACAAATAAAGTCTAAGTACACTTTACTTTATAACTAAATCTGTGTTACCTCTTAAATATGATTACTCAGGAGTTAGCTGAATTAATCATCAATTCATAAAAATTAAAAGTGAGAAAATAATGGACAATAATTATAGGAGCTGAGAAATTCAAGTGAGTTGAGGATATTTGTTATTCCCAATAGTATAGATTCCTTCAGATTTTGTGTATGAATAGGTATAACTTTGAGAATCTGAGGTCATTCCTCGTCATGACTGATGTAGCTTTAAGTTAGGATATCTTTTGAAGAACAACCTCAGGTAAAGATTCTTTTGCACAGTTGTTTTTTCTACCATTATTAAAGAGACCTAAGCAGCCTATTGATTTACCAACAACTAACCAGTAGATGAACCTTAAGCAAATCATCAGTTTTATGATAAACTGAATTGAAAAATAAGGGTGTTGGATTACTACATCTCAGCTCTCATATAACCCTTCATTTTGTTCTGCCTGTTTCTCGACAGGCCTCTCCGGATGCCCGTGGCCATAGGCCCCTTGACAAGAAGAGGGAAGTGGCTCCCAGCCTGAGACCTGCCCCAGCTCCAATCAGTGGAGGTGGCTACCGTGCTCGGCCTGCCAAAACAGCTGCCAGTCAGAAGAAAGTGGAAAGAAAAGCCCCTGATGCTGGGGGCTGTCTTCACGCTGACCCAGACCTGGTGGGTGCATGGTGCTTTCCCCAGAGTCGGGTCCCCCAGGCAGAGAAAGCCTGTAGTTGTGACTTCCCCCTGTGTCACTGACTCACAGTACCATGTTCGTTTGCTTATTTTGGAAATAAGATACAAAACGTAAATTACCTGGGCTGTGGTTAAGGGTTGCCTTCTAGTTTCTTTCTTCTGGTCCCAAGATTACACTTAGGATACCTGGATGTTGCCTTTACTTTCGTATTTTGCCCACTTTTTGGGTAAAATTTTCAGCCTAGTTGTTGTGTTCTTCATTCTTTCTGTTCTCAGGACTATTTTTAACCTTTGTAGGAATATGATGATGACTCTAGAATTTCTGGTCTTACACACACACAAAAAAAAAAAAAAATCAAAGTTTTTCTCTTGCTTAATGGTTTCCTCAAATGTCCACTGTGTTATATTTTCACAACTATCCATAACTCAAATCCTTCATCTAATGCCTGCTATTTTCTTTGTTTTCAGGGAGTGTTATGTCCTACAGGATGTCAGCTGCAAGAGACTTTGGTCAGACAGGAAAGACCAATCAGAAATAGTATCGATGAGTTAAATAATAATGTGGAGTCCGTTTCCCAGACCTCTTCTCACAACTATCAGTATATTACTCTGCTAAAAAACATGTGGAAAGAGAGGGAGAAGCAAATGAAAGGTAGATATCCTTGCATTTCCTGCTTGAATTATGTATAAAATTAGAACAACATTAGACTGGCACGGGCGTGCATGATTGTAAGAAGATTAGCATTTTTGCATTAGCTAAAATAGTATTTTTATTGGTCTCAGTATGAGCCTGATCACCCCAAGGTCCTTACCTTGACATCTTCCCTTGCAACTTGCCAGAGAAGCAATCCCAACTCAACTTTCAGTCTGGAATCATCAGCAATGCAGGGATAATTTTCTATAAAAATTTTACTATGATTCTGTTTTCAATCTTTAAGAAACTTTTGACTCAAAAGATATTATTTACAAAGTAAAAATTTGGCATTTGTGAATTTAGCATTTTATGTTTTGATACACTCATTTGCATAGAAGATAATGGTACCAAGCTTTTAAGGTTTGAGTTGTGAATGTTGAGTGCTATTGGCTTTGTTGTAAAGCATCAACAGTGAATGAGCCTGGCATAGGCATCTCAGTGAGTAGCACACCCCCGTTTTAACATTTTTCAAAGAAATATGGTCTCTTTCTTAAAAATTTCAAGGCTCTGCTCTACTTATATTGAATAGATGAGTAAATCAAGTGTATCCATTCCATAAGATGTTAATTTGCTTTTTATTGTTTTTTTATGAGGATAAAATATTTTAACCATTCCTACCTAACTTAATTTTTTCAGATAATGAGAATGTAATAGATGAGTACTCCTCTGTGTTGGAAAAGCACCGAATATATATAGACGAGACTGTGAATAGCAATATCCCAACTAACCTTCGTGTGCTCCGCTCAATCCTGGAAAACTTAAGAAGCAAAATACAAAAATTAGAATCTGATGTCTCAACTCAGATAGATTACTGCCGCACCCCATGCACGGTCAGCTGCAATATCCCTGTGGTATCTGGAAAAGGTAACTGGTTAATAGACATAAGTTGATGGGGGGAGGGGGAAGAAGAACTCACACTGTCTAAGAATAAGAGAAAATTTAAGATCCTAATATCATGAAGCACATCATGAAAATATCCCTAGTTGTTGTGTTCTGACTTAGCCCAGTGCATTTGCCAGCTTTGAACAGCAAAATGTGTTGTAATAATGGGTGGCTTAGTGGAGTACTATACACAGTTGCCTTATTCCATGGCAGAAACCTAGGTAGGTGGAGGAGTTTCTCCATTCCACCTGTCTAGAAGCTCATGGATATCCCAGGAAACAAAAGATAGAGAAGAACTTTCTTCATCTCTTTGGCAGATAAAACTCTGAGCTTAGTAGAAAGAAAGAAAGAAAGAAAGAAAGAAAGAAAGAAAGAAAGAAAGAAAGAAAGAAAGAAAGAAAGAAAGAAAGAAAGAGAAAAAGAAAAAATATTCAAGTTCTATAACTTATTTTCAAATGTCTAAAATGAAACATTCCTTAGTCATTTATGCAAGCAGTTATCTTTTGAAATTGGTGACTAAAGAGCAAGCCACTAGCTTGTAGGTCCCTGAATATGATATGTTGTCTTATTACAGAATGTGAGGAAATTATCAGGAACGGAGGTGAAACATCTGAAATGTACCTCATTCAGCCTGACAAAGCCATCAAGCCATATAGAGTATACTGTGACATGAACACAGAAAATGGAGGTTTGTATTTGGCAGTTGTTGATCTATTGTTCCGTAATGATGTTGATACCACAGATTGCCAGGAAATACAACCTAGTGTTAATATAATGAACAATATGCCATTTGATTTGGAAATCAAGCTGATATTTTAAAAGTTATAAAATATCTATGCATCACAATTTGGGGTAAGAGAAAATACTTGTAGTTTCCAAAGATTTTAAGAGTTTTGTAGTATCTTTATTGAGTTTTTTAGCAATATCATATAGAATCTTTACCTATTTAAAGGCTCCGTGCTGTTTGATCACATACACAAAAATAAAAATCATTTGCGATGTTATCTTGCTATCAAAAAAAAATTTCCTCTCATATTTATTTCCTTATTATATCCATTTTGGAGCACTAAGTATAGGTGGACATAACATGGATTAAATGGGCAAGAAATTCAGATATTCCCATCACAGCAATGATACTTGTTATTGGTTAATATGTGCTGTTTTGTTCCTTTTAACCAAAGGATGGACAGTAATCCAGAACCGCCAAGATGGCAGTGTTGACTTTGGCCGGAAATGGGAACCATATAAACAAGGATTTGGAAATATTGCAAGGAATGAAGAAGGAAAAAATTACTGTGGCTTACCGGGTAAAAATTATTTGTTTGTTTTTTCTAACCTGGTAAGAAATGCAAAATAAAATCCTCCTATTTAGAATGGAGGTTTTTCCATTTAATGTAGGGAGTCTTTTTTAGAAGTTTTAGGAGATGAAGAAGAATTTACAAAAAGAGTGTGAGGAGTAAGAAAGAAGGCTTTTTTTTTATTTTCCAAGGGTTTTCAAAACTTATTGGTGACATTTTATTTGTTTTCCTTTTAGGTGAGTATTGGCTTGGAAATGATAAAATTAGCCAGCTTACCAGGATGAGACCCACGGAACTTTTGATTGAAATGGAGGACTGGAAAGGAGACAAGGTGAAGGCACACTATGGAGGCTTCACTGTGCAGAATGAGGCCAACAAATACCAGCTCTCGGTGAACAAATACAAAGGCACAGCTGGCAACGCCCTGATGGATGGAGCTTCTCAGCTGTTGGGAGAAAACAGAACCATGACCATTCACAACGGCATGTTCTTCAGCACGTATGACAGAGACAACGACGGCTGGTAAGCCCTGGGTCCTGCCCCCTGTTTTATTTTATTTATTTTCTTAAAAGATTTATTTATTTATTTATGCACACAAGAACTGGGGTACAGGTCAGAGGTGTGGGGGTGAGAGGATTCACCAGAGACAGAGTGGGGAGCAGGACAGGCAAATCGACTGAAACACACTGCTGAGGGGAGCAGCGGGCAAGTCAGGAGAGGTCTGCTACGCCATGTGTGTTCAATCCCCTGGCCGGGGATTGAACCCAGGCAATAGCAGTGACAGTGCTGAGACTTAACCCCTAGACCACCAGGAAGGCCTTGCCTGCCACCTGTTTTAAAAACCACCACTAATATTGTTACTTGGAGTCATCAGTGATAGCAAATGTCACTTGCAGCAATCATTTCCTGGGCACTGACTGCATGTCATCCACTGGCCAAAATGCTTTAAGTACGACCTGAAAGCCTCAACTCTCAGATGGCCATTACTCTTCTTCTTCTCACTTTAAGATGAAGTCTACAGAGATTTACTGAAAGCTTATATAACCATAAAAGGTAGAAATGGGACTAGGGCACAGCTGCTTCGTGAATAGTGTTTCTCAAACATATCTCTATATGCGCCTTATATACTAATGTATCTATGAAAACCTTCCTTTGGGGGCCTCCCCTGGTGGCACAGGCAGTTGAGCGCCACTCTGTGAAGCTGTCCACAGCCTCTGCAGCGCCGGTTCAATCCCGGCCAGCCAGCGAGGGTCCCACATGGCGCACAGACCTCTCCTGCCACGCCCGCTGCTCCCCTCAGCATTGTGTTTGGTCAGTCTTCCTCTTCTGCTCCCTGCTCTGTCTCTGGTGAATCCTCTCACCCTCCCGTGCATCTGGCCTGTACCCCAGTTCTTGTGTAAATAAATGGATAAATCTTTAAAAAAAACAAAAACAAAAACATAAAAAACCTTCCTTTGGTTTTCCAGGTTTCTCTAATACCAAGGGATTTAAAAACTATCATTTCAGTATCAGGTAGCAAATATAATCTCTAGGGGAATTTGCCACATAGGCCGGTTGTCTCCCTTGCTTACTCTGGGGCAGAGAAGGCTTTGCATGTTCACAAGGCCTTACCTAGGGGCCGTGGGGAGGAGCACCACGCACAGCAAGTCTCTGCTGGTACTTTGCAAAGAAAAACTTGTCAGCACCGAGTGTCAAATAACCCAAACATGTCTCCTTCCAGGATAACTGCAGATCCCAGTAAACAGTGTTCCAAAGAGGACGGTGGCGGATGGTGGTACAACAGGTGCCATGCAGCCAACCCCAACGGCAGATACTACTGGGGCGGGCAGTACAGCTGGGACATGTCCAAGCATGGCACGGACGACGGTGTAGTGTGGATGAACTGGAAGGGCTCCTGGTTCTCCATGAAGAAGATCTCCATGAAGATCAGGCCCTTCTTCCCGCAGCAGTAGCCTTCCCCAACCCCACAGAGCTTTTTATTCTTCTAGGTGTAACACCATTTTTGTATATTATGTCACTGGAATTTTCTTTCATACCTTATATCCCCTAAAACTGTCAAAAGGTTGTGAGTGTGACTTTTTGGAAAAGGCATTGAGGATAACTAAAATTAAAAATAGCTCACCATTTTCTTTTGTATGCTTCATTGATATGGCTCACCATGAAGTAACTGAACAAGTCATCGTGGACACTGTCCACAACCTCACTTGCAGCTGATTATGAAAAGATTCCAATTAGGAAAGATTTTTGTCCTTGCTATAGAAAAACTGAGGGAAATGAAAACCATATGTTGAAAAGTCCACTTTTTAAGTCTATTTATTTATGTAAGATTTGTCACAAAAACTTTGAAAAAGATTTGTGAATTAAACCAGTCTCTGTTACAATGAATTATTGTTTACTTATTTTGTAATCCACATGGCCAATGAGTTAGGCTTTGAACTTGTAAGAAAAGAGAATTGTTCATAACCTCAAGTACCTAATAAACTGGAACTGAAGAGTTCCAGGATTCAAAATCTTACTGGTGGTAAAACTATGGCTCCACCACTTAGCCAGGCTCGGAGATCCCCCAGGATAGTCAGGAAGTCCCTGTCATTTGTTTCTCTCTTTTTTTTCCCCAGAGATTTATTTATTTATGCATACAAGAACTGGGGTATAGGCCACAGGTCTCGGGGGTGAGAGGATACACCAGAGACAGAGTGGGGAGTAGAACAGGCAGACTAACTGAAATACACTGCTAAGGGGAGCAGTAGGCAAGTCAGGAGAGGTCTGCTGCACCATGAGGGTAGCTCCCTGGCTGGGGATCGAACTTGTGCTACAGTGGCTGTGGATAGCTTCATAGATTGCGTCTTAACCCCATGCACCACCAGGGAGGCTCCCTGACATTTGTTTCTTGGGGGAATCAATGATGCAGAAGGCAGCAATTGCCTATTGCCCTGGAAGCCAGGCTGGCTGACCTTGACAGGTTTAGGTTTTTGACACAGTCACACCAGAACTCAAGTAGAGTAGGTCTTCCATTCTTTCTACTTGTCCCCAAGAACTGAGTATATCAGCTCAATATTTCTCTTCCTTGTATTTGTTCTTCAATCTCTTCGTTCCAACTCTCCTGGGCAACCCTGACCCAAGGTCCTCCTTTCTGAACTGGAAGTTCCTGAAGATGAACTTCATCATGGCCACTGAATTCTATGGAAACTTAGTGTCCCGAAGTGCAGCCTCTTACCCTTAGCTTCTAAGAAAAGCTTATTCATTTCTATCATGAAAATGTCACTCTCTCAATTCCTCATTAACTCCAACTTCAGCTTATACCTGGTTTTGTTGCTATAAGTTCAGTTCTACCCTACCGGGATGCTATCTGTCTATTCTGCCATCACATATATTGTCCTGAAAACAGAAAATTCTGACTATGTTATTTTCCTCATGCTATTAGCGTCTTGTTATCTAAATGTTAAAATCCAGATTCCTTAGTTGGGGATGAAAATGGTTTGCTGCTTGGACCTAGCACTCTCCCCGCCCCCTGCACTATGCACCAGCGGTTACATCACAGTGAATTTTTCCACCACTCCAGGACTTGGTCAGACCCTTCTGTATGACGCTCTCATTATCAGCACTAGTCCCCAAACTGCTCAACAAGGTGCTGTTCATTTTCAAGTCTCACTTTAATTTATCTGTTTTGCACACCTTTCTCCTTCAATAATGAGTTCTGATTCATCTTTGATTCCAGAATCTTCAACCTGTCAGAAAGACTGATTTTCATAAGTTCACAAATATTACATGACTAAGTCCACTGATTATCAAGATCTTGGATATCACTTTTTTAAAATCTAGGACCCATTTTTTCAATGAAGAAACAAAGTTTCAAAATGCAAAATACTGGAAAGTAGAACCTTTTTTTAAAAATTAATTTATTCATTTATACAAGCACTGGGTACAGTCAGAAGCATGGGAGGGTGAGGGAATTCACCAGAGCCAGAGCGGGGAACAGAACAGGCAGATCAACCGAAGTACACAACTGAGGGGAGCAGCTGGCGCTGCAGGAGAGGTCTGTCGCTCCATGTGGGACCCTCGCCGGCGGCTGGGGATCAAACCGGCGCTGCAGAGGCTGTGGGCAGCTTCGCTGCCTAGCGCTCAACCGCTGCACCACCAGGGGAGGCCCTGTAAAGTAGAACATTTATGGCAAGATTGGGTGTAGTAAAAGTCCGCTAACTCAAGGATGGAGAGATGGAAGGCGCCTGATCCAGGGGCAGTGTCACTCAGAACTTTGCTCAACCCTCTTACACACTCATAGAGGATCTAAGGAATCTAGGACTTAGAGTAAACTACAGATTAGTAAAGTAGGTAATCTGATGGTTGATTGTTAATGTAGAAGAAAGTAGAAGAAACACAGAGACAGGGGTGATAAATGATGTGTAAATCTATGTAGAAAAAAGTAAGCCTTCCTAAGGTATCATTTGCTAAGAAAGACATGCAAATTTTATGTATATTTATCTTTTTATAAGATTGCATAACTGACTTCATGCATTCGAACACCACTGTTTTGAATGAAGTAACTAAACAGATATATAAAAAGATGCTTTCCCTTAGTTAGAATATGTAAAACAGTATCTAAAAAGGATTATTTGTGACTTTTTGAAGATAATAAAATAATTAGTTGAAAACTATGAACCCCACACTGTGGCATGAGAACTATAATGCATTTTATTATGCAATTAAAACTGTAATTGTACAGTATGTACAATGAAACAAACTACATGTATGTATAACTACACATATAAAGCTATAAATTATAGGATATATGTACTGGGCATCAATATACAGGTTCTCTGAATGTAGTAACCAAGGAAAACAGTTGATTAGTATTACTAAGAGAATTATTTTTTGACTATAGTTTTTCCCACATTGTGCAAAAGTTTGGGAGGTGTGACATCCTACCACTAGCTCAACTGACATGTTTATTTCACCATAACATGCCAAATACCATGTTCACTGATCATCAAAAAGTGCAGAGTTTACTAACAATGCAGATTTCCATGTGCCAGGCCCGGTTCATTATATGATAGCAGCTCTACGTAGGAAGAGACTAAGAGCCTGTATTTTTCAAGTGTTTGCTTTTTTTTATTTCTGCTGAACAAATGTTGAATATTATGATTAAAATATTTATAATTTCTTTGATCTTCTTCTCTTTAATTACTAGATTTGCCAAATATTTGATTCCTTTGCAAGTGCAAGAGATTTTCAAATGGTTAGTACCATTTGAATATCTTTCCATGTTCTTCAATTTTCTATATGCATAATAATCTTTTATACGAATTCTTAACCATTCCTTATACATGCAAATAGTATTTGGGAACATAACGTTATGACCTATTTTTTCAAATATTTTTTCCCTAAGTGATTAGATTGGAAGAGTGACACACGTATGCAAGTGATCTTAACTAATGGCACCAATATCAACCACTGTACCTTTCTCTTTTTCTCCTAACCAGGATGTGACAAATATAGGCCATATATTTTTTTGTTTTCTTTGTTTCATGACTGAATGTAGTAAAATTGTTTCTCCAAACTTATTTTGAAAATTTCAGTCCTAAAGAGAAATTGCAAGAAGAGTTTAATGAATACCTCTATGTCCTTCACCTAGATTCACCAAATGTTTGCTTCATTTGTTTTATCTCTCCAAAGAAGATATTTTCAATGCAGTTTTGCAACAGCTTATGTAGGCTTGCAAACTTCAGGTCATAGACCTATTATAGAAAGAGTCAAAGGTAGATTTAGCAAATATTTTCCAGAGTGTTCTGTTGCAATCAACATGTACCCACTTTCAGCAATGGGCTCACAAATAGGGAAGCCATTGTTTTATAGCAGAGGACTCCTCAGTTCAAATGCTTCAGGCTCTCTTAAAATTTCTTGCCTCTATGGTTTTTAAATGCTACTTTTACTGTATGGACGTGGATAACATAATATTCATCTCTTATGGAAGAGTTCATTTGAATCTCTTTCCCAGGGATACATTCCTTGTCATGCTACTCCCTTCTTTAAGGTCTTTGCCACCCTGCCCCTAATGTATGATAAAAAGAAATTACTTTACAGGGTAGTCATGGGTATATCCTTATTTCAAGTCATGGTGGTTAGAGAAAAATCTCACAGATTGTAGGGTGGTAAGTAAGCCACTGTGGTTCAGCTGAATATTTTTTCAAATTGTAAATTTCCAAAATATTTTCCAATACATTTATCAATCTGTGTGTAAATGGGATTGTGTCATTCAAACCTATGTTGTTCAAGAGTCAACTGCATATGCAGTCCATTTTTGACCAAAGCATCACAAAGGACACATGATTGTATGCATAAAGGAGTACTACTTAGCCGTTTAATAAGAAGGAAATCTTATCATTTGCAAAAACATAGAAGGAACTTACAGGCATTATGCTAAGTGAAGTTAGACAGAATAGACAAATACTATATGATTTCATTTTTATGGTTTTTTTTTACCAAAACACTCTGATTAAAAAAAAAAGAACTTACAAGATACAGAAAATAGACTGGGGCATGGGAGATTGGTCAAAAGGATGAAGGGGGTCAAAATGTACTCACAGATAGAAAATAAATCAATCATGCGGATAAAAGGTACAACATGGTGACTATATTAATAATAGTGGATGACACATTTGAAAGAAGCTAAAGGACTCAGTAAGTTTTCAGTGCAAGGAAATCTGTGGTGTGGATATTAACAAAAGTTATTGTGACGATCATCTTACAATATATACGTACATTGAATCTTATATACCTGAAACTAACATGATGCTATGTGTCAGTTTTATCTCAATTAAAAATATTTTTATTAATTTTATTTTTTAAATTAATTTTTATTAATTCTATTTTTCAATTGCATGTAAGGAAATGCAAGAACACTGCTTCATATGTGACTTATATGAGGGCTTATGCTCACTTTCCATTTGCTCCCTAAGCCCTGGTCCCTAACTCCAGCCTGCCTCATCTTCCTTCCTTCCTTCCTTCCTTCCTTCCTTCCTTCCTTCCTTCCTTCCTTCCTTCCTTCCTTCCTTCCTTCCTTCCTGCCTGCCTGCCTGCCTTCCTTCCTTCCTTCCTGGGACAAAAATTGTTACATTGCAATGGAAACTGCAAATGAGGGCAACTTACCTGGATTTCTATGTGTAGGGGCTATTTTAATACATTAAGAATAAATGGTTAGGGCCTCCCTGGTGGCGCAAGAGGTTAAGCACAGCACTGTGAAGCATCCACAGCCTCTGAAGCACAAATTTGATTCCCAGCCGACCAGGGAGCTCCCCACATGGTGCAGCAGATCTCTCCTGTCTCACGCTGTTCCCCTCAGCAGTGTATTTCAGCAGATCTGCCTGTTCTGTTCCCCACTCTATCTCTGGTGAGTCCTCTCACCCCCCTCTCCCACACCTCTGGCCTGTACCCCAATTCTTGCATGCATAAATAAATAAATCTTAAAAAAAATAAAAGAATAAATGGGCAGGAGTCACAGCCACCAAGACTGAAGATACAACTGGGATCAAATAAAATATTGACAATATTGACCAAAGTAAATATGTTGAATTTGCAGTGCTGCCTTCCAACAAATCTTATTTTTTAAAGATTCATTTATTTATGCATACAAGAATAGGGGTAAAGGCCAGAGGCATGGGGGGCAAGAGGATTCACCAGAGACAGAGTGGGGAGCAGAACAGGCAGACAAACCGAAAGCACTGCTGAGGGGAGCATGGGCAAGATAGGAGAGGTCTGCTGTGCCATGTGGATAGCTCCCTGGATGGCCGGGAATCGAACTCATGCTGCAGAGGCTGCAGACAGCTTCATAGGTTGCATCTTAAGCCCTTGAGCCACCAGGGAAGCCCCCGAGCAAATCTTACTTTTAATAACAACTAATGTATCACAGAATACACTTTATGATTGGTAGAAAGATGTAGTCAAAGAACACTGTGGGGATTGTTTATGGATGTATAAATTCAACCTGTTTTAGATACCTACAAATATTTAAAAATGTAAATGCATCTCTCCATGTATTTTTCAAAGAAATTGATTAGACCCTGGAGGGAAAAAAAGGTATTATGGTATTCATTGGGAAAGTTAAAGAGTGGATTTCTACTCTTCGATGTTTCTCTTGCCTTCTTGAATTTCCTTAACAGCAGAAGAGATGCATGTATTTTGTAATTTTGCAAATTCCTGCATCAAAGTCAGCCCTTGTCCAACCCAGTGATTTGTAACTTAAAATACAGGTTTAAAACCTTACTTTACAGTAGCCCTATGACTTGGGGTGGTGTGGGGAGTGAACTCTCAAAGCATCAAAGCACCACTACCAGGTTGCAGAGAGGAGTGTCCATCTGATGTACTGACTGTCCCCTGGTGAATCTTTATAGAAATTTTAGCACCCACAGAGCTATTTCGAAGTTAAAAATAAAATTATATCACTTTATTTTTTAAGCACTAGTACGTGCCAGTTACATTTACCTACAGTACAAAGAATAAAATAGCACCTGGGAATTTTTAAATTGATTGTAAAATATCTTGACAACTATTTTCTTCCTTTCCCCCATGTCACTGAGCAAAGAAAACAGCCTTCTTGGCCACTCTCTCAGCCTACGGGGACTCTAGAGGCCTGATTTTGATGCGAACAGCCCTGAGGGAATAATCTGCTCCTCTGAAGGGGGCCCAAACCACCCCGTTCTCAATCTCGTAGGGACTGTTGTTCCTGGGGTCATAGGCGCCCCCAGGGTAGTAGACACCATTGAGATTGGCCGCCTGGCAGTTGTTATACCACCAGCCTCCTCCGTAGACCTCCGCACAGTTCTCTTCCCACCGGTCGGCATCCCTGTCAAAGGTGCTGAACGCCATGCCCGCGTGGGCCGTGTGCTCGGCGCCCTCCTCGGCCCAGCCCTCCAGCAGCGCGTCGCCCGCAGTGCCACGGTAGGAGGACACCTGCAGGGCGTAGCCTTCGGCCTCGGAGCCCACCCGCAGGTGATACTCCGCGTAAGCCCCGCGCCCCTCCCAGTCCTGTAATTCCACCCGGAGGAGCGAGCCCTTCTGGGTTAGTAAGTGGAGGTATTCATTGCCCAGCCAGAATTCCCCTTCCCCCTTGTCATTCAGGCTGCCGAAGCCTCTCTTGTAGTCCTGCCAGGTCCGGTTAAAATTCAGTGATCCATCCATTCTTTGCTGGATCAAAAGCCATCCTCCCAAACCGGTCTCTTGATCGCAATAAACAGAAAGAATCTTACTGGATCCCGGTAGCTCGATATTGAAAATGCCACTTTGGGTACCTGAAGGATGTGTTTGGAGGACATCATCACAGTCTAAAAAAAAAATTAAGCTGGTTGGAAGTAGTTACTCTCATTTAACTTTACAAAGATAGGTATGGCCCGTATTAAATGAAGACAGACTCTGGCTTCCTTTCCTCCCTTCCATGGAAAAGGATGCATTTAGACTAGGATGGAATTTATATGAGTGAGTGGCATTTAGACCTATAAATTGCAAAGAGGATTTTCCTTAATGGGTTTGGAATTTTACTTGCATATGCTGATTGATAGCAACTAATCTGAGATCATCTAAGCATCATTCAGAACTGATAGAACTTGTTTTAATCTGATCTCAATGTCATCTCAACGTCAACTGAGACACACACAAGAAATATGAGGCCTAACGTGGGTGACAATTCCAGCAGCGCACAATTAGAATGGTGAAAGAATTTGATTTAACAAACTCAAAATTGAGTTTCAGAAGGATCCGTTCATTCATTTAACACGTATTTATTGAGTGATGGCTCTCTGCACTGTTAGGCATTTGGGAATACAAAGATGAACACAGCAAAGTCCCTGCCCCCATGGAACGTACAGTCTAGCAAGAAACACAAACAAACAAACAAACAAACAAGGGTGTCATCTCAATGGTAGAGGGTTAGGAAAGGTGGGCAAAGTGCTAGGGAAGCACTTTGCAGGAATAAACTTAGTCTAGGGGGTCAGGGAAGGCTTCCCCAAAGGAGGAGTGTGGATACCTCTGGTAGTGCGACCCTTAACATGGCCTCTGTTGGTAGATGCTCCGCTGGATTCTTCGAAATGGGTTTTCCCTTCAGCATCATCTACCATTTTAAGGCTCTTGCTTTCACGTGTGGAGGAGCTTCCTCGGCTGCTAGTTGTCCTGGTTATAGATTGTTTTTTGCGAGTTGTAGTTTTACTCCCAGAGGGAAACTCAGGCACACCCGAGTGGTGAGAAACGCTTTCCCTTGTGTCTGTGAAGTCAGACCCAGTGCCCAGAGACTGGGTCTTACTGCCGAATTCTTTGAAGTCAGATGAGAATAAATCTGTCATTAGTTTTCCAGTTGAGCCAATGTTGAAGAAATCCGCTTCCTCCGGGTGTCTTGTATGGAAATCACTCAGGCCGCCCCGGCCAGACATAGTATGGAACAAGTCTAAGTCACTCTCATCCCCACAGTCAGAGCCATCATCGGAGTTCACCACTTCTTTGGTCACTTCTTTCCGACCGTCCACCGTCACGGTCTTAGTGATAGTCTTAGAGCATGACCGACGAATGGTAGAAGAGGGGCCACCAGAAGCGACCCTCTCATTACCGATCACAAGCTCTTTGTCGCCTTTGGAAGTCATCAGCTTACCTGTGTGGTATTCTCTCTTTGTCCCAGGGCTTACACTTCCTGATAGGTCTTCAAATATGCCCCATCTTTCACCGGTAGGCGTGGTGTCCCCACGGCCTGAGCTCTCTGGCCTCAAACTTCCAGGTTCAGAGCTACCATTGTCCCAGAATTCGGTATCACCAGGTCCAGAGCTCCCTGGGGACCAAGGGCCAGGGCCAGTGGGTCTGGAGCTCCCCGAGGTCCAAGGGTCAGGACTGGCAGGTCTGGAGCTCCCCGAGGTCCAAGGGTCAGGACTGGCAGGTCTGGAGCTCCCCGAGGTCCAAGGGCCAGGACTGGCGGGTCTGGAGCTCCCCGAGGTCCAAGGGCCAGGACTGGCGGGTCTGGAGCTCCCCGAGGTCCAAGGGCCAGGACCGGCGGGTCTGGAGCTGCCAGGGTGTCGATTTTCAGTATTGCCAGGTACAGGATTCCTGGGGCTTTCAGGCACTGAGCCTGTTCCATGATAAGCAGAGTCTCCATAAGAATTCTTATCTTTCCCAAGCCCTTCTAACTCCATTCTCATCTGCTTCATTTCCACTAGTGCCTTCAACTCTGGAGGGGCCTCGTTAAGTTGGCTCTTGAAGTTTCCGGGAATCAACTCTGGAAGTGGGCTTATTTTCATCAGTGGTAAGTGCTGCCTGTCACGAGAGGGAAATAAGTCTATGGCGATAACCTGTTCAAGTTGCTTCTGCTGGTCTTCATAGTCCTTTAGATCTGTCTCACGTGTTAGAGCCCGACTGCAGGACCCTTGGCAAGATCGAATTTTAATATCAATGTCCACCTACAGAGAGGGGGAGAAAGATAAAGAGAAAAGATAGATAAGAGTGTATAAATTCAGTCCACTGATTTCTTAGGAAGGTAGATATAAATATATCAACTGATTCTGCTGAGTTCTTAGGAGTTCATTTAATTTTTGGAAATGGGTTGAGTTTTTGACTTGGAGACTTGCCAGCAAATTCTCTTTATTTTCCAATTATGTAGCATCCTCAGTGGGAGAAATGTTGGGTATTATCAAGCTAGGCAGGATAAGCAACAAAAGCCACTTGGAGTCATCTCATACATCAAGTATAAAGGGCTATTACTCCTGAAAGGAAATACTAATCAAATAATCCTCAGTGGATCTTAGGTTGAAGACTCAGAGGCAGGGTGATGTCAGGGCTTTGGAATAAGAAAAGCAGGGACTGAACATTTGCTTTTGAACTTTATTATCCATGTGCCCTTAGAAAACTGACTTAGTATCGCTGAGCTTTTTTCTTTATCTCTGGAGTGGAGGAAATAATATCCACTAAATAATAATAACGGACATAAAGAGCATTTTGCTCTACTATCTGCAGTGGACACCCACTGAAGGACTAAGGACTATTGCCTTCTTTTTCTCTGCTATTCAGAATCAAGGAAAACTGGTGTCAGAGCCACATTATGTACTTACCTCTAATCGCTTCATGTCTATCAACTGAGCTCTGACATTTTTCTGTAGAAGGTTAATATGTTGCACTTGTTCTGTGACTTTGCGCTTCAAGACCTCAATTCTGCTTCTTAGGTCTTGTGACACTTGCCCATATGCATTATCATGGTCTGAAATAGAAAATATGGACATCGAAGTAGCTACTGAGTGGTTTTTTTGTCATAACTGATAAAAGAAGGAAATTTACTTGTAAATATTACCCCATTTCATTTTGATAAGAGTTTGCTCTTTGGAAACTTAAATTGTAAGTTCCAAATCTACTAGGCATTTGAATTTTGTATAATTTTTTTTTAAACTTTTTTTTTATGGTTTTTATCTTTTATTTATTTTTTTCAGATTTATTCATTTATTTATATAAGCACTGGGTACAGTCAGAAGCGCGGGAGGGTGAGAGAATTCACCAGAGCCAGAGCGGGGAGCAGAGCAGGCAGAAGGACTGAAGTACACTGCTGAGGGGAGCAGCGGGCGGCAGGAGAGGTCTGCGCACCATGTGGGACCCTCCCCCCTTGGCCGGGGAGCAGCCGGGGATCGAACCGGCGCCACAGAGGCTGCAGGTCAGGCAGCTTTGCAACCCAGCACTCAACCACTGCACCACCAGGGAGGCCCTAGGCATTTGAATTTTGGACAACGTTATGTCCTACTGTCACTCCATGATGTCAACTAAGATACCCATTAGCCATCAGTAATCCAAATAAATGCAGAAGAAAAGTCTTCAGAATTTTAAAGGTGTAATTAGAGATAAAACAACCAATTTGATCACATTCCAATTATTTGATCATATCCTTCATCAAAGGGTTTGTACATATTCTTGGATATTCTTACTGAGAAGTTTTTCCTCCTACCTATGCATTTGAAAGAACCCCAAAGCTTTTTTTAGGTAAATAGAATCATTCACTTCTACTGATGACAGTAAATTAGTTAAGTGTCTCCTAAAAATATTAAAAAGTCAAGGCTTTCTGGAAGTGGGGCCTCTCTGAAGTAGCTGCCCCTGCCTGAGTAAATCCAGAGCTTCCTGTCCTCACAAGACCTTGTATGACATGAATGTCTATTGTAAGCCTAGACCCAACTACATAATCAGTTCGGTGGAGTCTGTAAATGTAACCCCCAGCTCCATCACATGATGGCTTTGTGTCTCCAGGCAAGTGCCTTGGCCTCTCGGCTTCCTCCTCTGTCACACAGAAACAAAAATATCAACTCAAAAGTTTGGGCCCATCTCATTTTTGCTATATACTCTTAAAAAAAATACCTGAATTTTCACCTTTGACCCAAAATACTGACTCACCTGTGACAAACAATTCCATGCTAACCTCCTTAAAATTCAGGGGCATCATTAAAGCATGTTCCTATACTAAGTACTTTAGAATAAAATTGTGGTTGCTACAAAGAAGCATATTTATTTAGGATTTTTTTTTGCTGTTTTTATTGTGTGCTATAAAGCCAAAGTTAAATGTGTAATACGTACTGTTAGCATCGGCAAAATCCCCTCTCAAAATTTCCATTATATTCCTGGTCAATGAATTAGAGTCCTTGTTGCTTTTCTGATAATCAAACAGTGAATTTTTGAGCTTGTTTATTCTGTTTGTAAAATCTTGATTGACTTCATCAATCAACCCTTTCATCCTGCAGCCAGAAGGGCATTTGGAATTCTGAAAAGGAAAAGGAAAAATTACATTAAGGAATCCACTACAATTTTGAAGATTTCCAGGCAGCCCTCTTTGTCCTCCAAACCTCATACCCCCAACCACCTCTTCAACTTACCTATTGAGGGGCCTCCCTGGTGGCACAAGGGGTTAAGACACAACCTATGCAGCCACTGCAGCACAAGTTCAATCCCCAGCCAGGGAGCTACCCATATGGAACAGCAGACCTCTCCTGACTCGCCCGCTGCTCCCCTCAGCAGTGTATTTCAGTCAGTCTGCCTGTTCTGTTTCCTGCTCTGTCTCTGGTGAATTCTCTTACCCCCCAACACCTCTGGCCTGTACCCCAGATCTTGTATGTGTAAATAAATAAATCTTTAAAAAAAAATTACCTATTGACTGAAAAGTAGCTTAAGAAAACTGGTTGTGTTGGGAAAAGGATGTCCTAAAGCTAATTCCATACAGACTTTGTGGACTCCACCCCCACTCCAGACCAAAGCCAAAAGACACTGTGAGCTACAAATCCCATCACCACCAAAGGGAAGGAGGCTGGAACCTGAGGGTGGGGTTAAGCAGCCAGGTTGGTATAAAACCAGGCACGTGGGCTTTGGGGATTCCCTTTTTGGCTCTCCGCCAGCTCTCAGCACTTGGCCAGCTCTGAGAGTGCCTTTGGGTTTCCAGGTCAGCGGATCGGGTAGGACGCATTAAAGACTTTATTTCCCTATTTTCTCCCTGAGTTGTACATTTTCCTTATTTCCTTTTCCCTTGTAAATAAACCTTTTATTAACCTTTTGTGTGTGCCTGTAGTGGAGTATTAATAAGCCCCTTTTAAGCACACAGTTGAGGACCCACGGCTGGGCAACCTGTTTTATATCGGGGCTGCTCCGTAACAGTTGGTGGGCCTCCCCTGTGGCGCGGCGGGTTGAGCGCAGCACTGTGAAGCTGTCTGCAGCCTCCGCAGCACTGGTTCAATTCCTGGTCGGCCAGGGAGAATCCCACATAGCGAGGCAGACCTCTCCTGTCTCGCCCACTGCTCCCCTCAGCAGTGTTTTCGGTCTGTCTGCCTGTTCTGCTCCCCACTCTGTCTCTGGTGAATCCTCTCACCCTCCCAGACTCTGGCCTGTACCCCAGCTCTTGTATAAATAAAAAAATAAATCTTAAAAAAAAAAAAAGAAAAAGAAAACTGGTTGGAGACCATAAAGAAATCAACCGTAAATTACATGGCATAAAAATATTGAGTTTCATAATCCTTAGGTTGCTAGTATTTGCCTCAACATGCAAGTAAAGTTTGCTCTGTTAATTTCATTAATGATCCAGAGTTTGGGAGATGATTTCAGTAGTGATTTGGGACAAGGTTTCCTTCCGTATGTCTTCTCTAATTTGACAAGTAAGGAGCTATCTGACAAGTAAGGAGCTTATCCCCCAATGAAAAAGGCTCCAGTGCCCTCCTGATCAGCCTGGATACACTTCTAGCACCACAGGGGAGGTGGCCCCAGGGGGAGAGGATGCTCCCACACGCCACCCGCTGCTGCTCACCCACTCATCGTCCGAGCAGAAGGGCCAGTCGGCATCTTTACAGGTGGAGTGCTGTTTCTCCATGACTCTGGGGCCCCGGACAGCGCCTCCTCCTTCTGAAAATTCATCTTTCTCTCCCTCTGCAGCCTGTAACATTCAATCATGGACACAAGAGAGTAGTGTTAAGCAGATGAGTGGACGCTGGCTTCTTGTAAATCCCAAGCACGAGGGGGCTCTAGCAGAGAGGATGGGCACCAACTTTGGGGGTCCTCCAGCTTCCTTCAGGTTTCTTCTTCCAAAAATTGGTAGCACCCACTGACTGGAGTTGTTATGAGAATCAACAAAGCAAATAAAATCTTTCCTGTTTCCTGCTAAAGAGTCATAGGCCTGGTGCAGTAAATAATGCAAAATAAGTGTAAATAACGAGTTCTTCCTTAATAAGCATATCTAAAGGAGGTGACATTCTAATAGGTTGGATCACAGCCAGGCTGATTGATCTCCCAGGCCATCCTGGAATATCTGCCTTTCCTGAATATCTGTCCTGCCTTTGTCAAGAACTCTTGTGCTCACTGACCGATGTTATCAATGTAATGCAGTTACGTATAAAAGAGACCCTTTGTCTCTAGACAGGTGCTCAGACCTTACAAAATTATTAATATTTACCTTTTTATGTTTATTAATGTCTAGCAATAGGAAGAGAACTGAAAAATTCAGAGTTCCTTTTCTTATCAATCCTGTTTCAGTAACAGGAAAAAAATGTACGCTATCTTAGCTTAGCCATCTATCCTTCAAGTTTCAATTATAACTTTATGGGCTCATAATTTAAGCAAATATATACCAATGACACCAATGTAGTTGATTCAAACTTGGAAATGCATTTTAGGTTGCTCATTCATGTAATAATTTATTTTTATTTGAAATTAAAAAAGTAAATGGAAAGCAAAAATATAACTCATTTACTGACAACTTATTTTGAACACGTTATAATTACAAATATAGCTTTAAATGTTTTAAAATTTCAATTGTGATGTATGAAATGAAAAAGAATATAAACGTATGCTTCCAATAAGACTTATATTCTAATAAATCAATGTGGGTTTTAGATTTTAAGGATTTTAACTTTTTTTATTTTATGCCATCGACTTAAGTGAATTTTGCTGAGATTATTTTAATTTCAGAGAGCTTATTACTATAATTAGTTAACATTTGTGTCTCATTCTAAGTTAAAACCTAAGCAATAATAATAATTCAAGCAACCAACAATATATTTAAAAGAACAAATATAATGCTTTTGTCTAAGGAATAAAATTACAAATTCAAACATACTTCAGAATAAATTGACACAATAAAAACAGGCAACAACTGAATATGTCAGCAAAGGAGATATAATTAAAACTAATGCATCATCCAAAATATCACTTTAGCAATTGATGTTAGTTTTATTTCCCATAAATATTTTAATGTATTACCTTACCAAAAGGGGTAAAAGTAATTTAGAAACTCTCTTTTGATTTTTTGTTTATTCTCTGGTATTAGAACTTATGAATCATGATGAGCAAGAAATAAATTAGAATAAGTCACTGCTTTGATAAATAACCAGAAAATAACTGAGTTTCCTGAACATATTTATCATCTTTTTGTAAGCCTGGAATATTTCAGAAGACTTATTGAACAAAGTTTCTCTTCTGTAGGTCTCTGGTGTCAAAGTTTAGACATTATTGCAATATTCAGTAATTATTTTTAAGGAATACAGTTGTTCTCCAAAAGTACATTGCTTTATTAATTGATTCCTTCTGAATTTGCTATATAATACATAATTAAAGACAATTAATTTGTAATTAATTTTCTTGAAGTGTGAAAACAACCTTTCAGGAAAACTATATGAAACCACTGTTCAACTCATTATGGACAAATAGCAAGAAATTAACAATTAGATTTAAAATTCTTACTGTAGAATATTTTATTCTGTTAGCTAGCACTTGCTGTTCAGAGGCTTAATAGTATAAATATGGCAAAGATTTCTCCTCTTGTAAATCAAAATGGTGACTGAGTTTCAGTGTAAATCCCCTTGTGAATTTATACAGTTTGGTTCAGGTAAGTCTCCCTCTTTGGGTCAAATTACCCTGCACTCTTGAGGTGTCAAAACCACCATGGTCTAGAGGACATACATACGGCTGACCAGGCCTGCAACTCTTGTGGAATAAACACCAGACAGAAAGCAAGAAGAGAAAATGGAGGAGGCCATACCCAAACTGTGCCCATCACACTCAGGACCAGGCAGAAGATCCTCGCCGAAAACATCTTTGCCAGTGGTGGAGCTGGCTCCTGAGGAGCCCTCGAGCTGCAAGAAAGGATCACCTCCACTCTAGCTCTCATCCCATTTAAATCTGCAGGAGGTTTCATTAATCATTACCTTTGTCCTGGCTAGACAGTCAACATGCTCTCTGCATCCCTTGCTCTTTCTGTAAGGTTTGAGTCCCAGAAATGCTTGCTCAATTTCCCTCCAGCTTGTTTGCTTCTGATAAACTGTTGCAAAGTAGCAGTACTTTGGGGGAATAGCCCACATTCCAGGAATAGGGTGACTTTGGAAATGCAAAAGAGAACATAGGAAGTGTACCTGTACTTTAGCGCTTGAAGGGATGCAGAGAGTGACTGAGGAGGCTGACTGTGGTTCATGTGGAGCAGGAATTTCATCAATAATAGTCACTTCAGGTAGAAATTAAGGTTGGATGAACTGATTTTAAAAATATGACCTTAGTGTTAGGTTGACCCTAAAGACCTTTCACGAACTTACCTTGAACGCATTGTTCTCTATCCAAAATGTTCAGACAGCAGCACTGGGAGCCAAACATCTGAGGTTCATCATCCCAAAGACACCATTCCCCAGCTCTGTGCTTTTGGACAAATTACCTCTTTGTGTTCCAGATTCCTTACTTTTAAAATGGGGATAATGACAATCTACCACACATTTTTATGAAGAATAGATGAGTTAATCCTTGTAAAATCTTCAGAGCACGAGTTGCCCGTAGTAAGTGTAACCCTCTGTGTTAACGGTTATTGGAGAACACAATGAACCATGAGAAATACCGTTTCTTTCCTGTGTCTATGGCTTTGGACAGACTCATTTACTTTCCCTGTTCTTCATCTCCGTAACATTTTCCTTAGCTAAGAATTACTAGATTTTGCAAATAATAAAACCAGAATGCCCGGTTAAATGTTAATTTCAGATTAAAAATAAAAGCAAATATATCTCAGTACAGAGTTTTATCTCATGCAATATTTGGATCATACTTTCACATAGTTTTGTTTTGTTTTGTTTTGTTTTTATCTGAAATGCACATGTAACTGGGCATCCTGGAATTTGCTTGGCAAACTATCTTGCCTCAAATTCTGCTTGCTATGGGAAATGAATCCTGATAATGGTAACAGCTAATAATTTATTGTTTGTTAAGTGCCAGATACTTTACAGAGTATCCAATTTCATCTCTCTAACAAAAGCAGTCTCTCCCTTTTTTTTAAATACTTGAAAGATTTTTTTTTAAGATTTATTTATTTATGCATACAAGAGCTGTAGTACAGGCCAGAGGTGTGTGGGGGGTAAGGGGATTAACCAGAGATAGAGTGGGGAACAGAACAGGCAGATTGACCAAAGTACACTGCTGAGGGGAGCAGTGGGCGAGACAGGAAAGGTCTGCTGTGCCATGTGGGTACCTCCCTGGCCATCCGGGGACTCAAACTCATGCTGCAGTGGCTGCTGACAGCTTCATAGGTTGCGTCTTAACCCCTTGTGCCACCAGTGAGGCCCTAACAGCAGTTTCTTGTTCTTCTATCCTTTCTTAGACTACATACCTCCCCAGCACTTACTGTTGTAGGCCTGTTGTCCAATTCATCTGCTAGATCAAAAATCAACCTTTGACATTTTATTGGTCTTTATATTCTCCCCATAAGGTCTGGGCTCTCCATTTTGAGCAAGAAAGCATGAGTGGAGTCCACCATTGTGACAGTGACCTACAGTACCCTTGGCTCTGTAAGCAAGCAAAGCTCCTGAGAGAGGAACAAAGGTCCTGGGACAGGCAGCATCCTCTGTCACTGCTCGTTTCAAGGAAGGTTGTCTGTTTGGTCAAGCCCACTCCTGATGTGGTTTTCCCCCTTGACTTTCTAGAGCAGAGCCCAGAGGGAGCCTTCCAGCCCCTTCCAGGTTCTGAGGGCAATGATTTCATGGAGAACTGGGTTCAACTCATCTACAGTGAAAATGCCAGGCACAGATAAGCAGTAGTGGCTTGACCTCAATTATTTTCCTTGGCCCCCACCAAGTGCCCCTCCCGGGATGTGAACATGGTATGTGGGAGAAGTTTCAGGTGAGTAACCTTGTGAGCTTCTGGTGGTTTATTGAACAGAACCTGATTGAAAGTTGACAGGAAGCAGTTTGACTGACAGCCAGCAGCTGGGGTCCTGTTAGGACATTTCCAGGTAGCACCGGTGGGTGGGCTTTTTCTTTGCTTCTCCATGGCTCCCTCAGGGATCTGGGCCGCTGACTCCCTTATTTTATCCAGAGCTATTCCCAGGTGGCACCCGCCCAGTGTGGTCTTCTTTGAGCAACCTACCCATCCACTGACCCAGTCTGGTTTTCCTTCCCAGTACCTTGACGACGTACATCTGGAATTCTGTTTGTTTACGTGTTTTGCTCGCTAAGCTTCACAAAGCCAACTCACAAGGCCTAATGCAATGTCAGGCACAGAGCAAGTACGAATGTGTGTTTTTGGCGAAATGGAAGGCCGCCTCAGTGCCGGCACAGTGAGGCAGAGGGTCATGGGCTTTGCAGAGAGTAAGTGCTGTGGATAAACTACATTCTCTGAGGCAGTTTCCTTACACGTAAATGATGGATGACAATATTAACCTGGTTACTTGAAAAGTTTGGGGTAACTCAATTGCCAAGATCCAGTTGGTGCTCTGTGATACTTATTGGGGCTTCTTTTAAATTAGTAGCAAAGATTACTTAAAATGGTACATCTAACACACCAACAGCCCCAGAAACAGTCACCTTTGTTGTTTCTAGAGTATTCCAATCCACATAATAGAAGTCCCCGTGCTGTTGCTCCAGTGCCAGAATTCCCATGTCAGGAATTGCTGTGGATGCATTTAGAGCCAGATTGCAGGCCGGGGGCCTCACGCCCTGAACAAACCATACTATGAGAGGGGGAGATGAGAGTTCAGTCCCTCAGTGTTTCCTATTGTATTATCAATTAAATAACTCATTTTTCAGAATCAATTCATTTTAATTCTAATATGCTTTACTAAACTTTAGTAGACTTGTCAGTTTTTTGCATTGAACATGTATCAACATATACATGCTATTTTTGAAAAGAAAAAACAGCAACATGGATTCATTTTAATTTTATACAACTAAATCCACTTGATTTGGCATACCTCTCGGCTGGTTTTCTGTGCTGTTTCTATTAAAGATAAGCAAAAAAGATGTAGCAGTTGGTACTGATTTAATATCATGTATTGAGATCTAGGGAAATAACATCTGTAAGGTACTAAGACTTTCCTTAGCAAAGAATTGATGAAAAGTTTGGGGTAACTCAATTGCCAAGATCCACTTGGTGCTCTGTGATACTTATTGGGGCTTCTTTTAAATTAGTAGCAAAACTGTGACAGAACTTTTTAAAGGTATTTGGGTAACATTTTGTTTAACTAAAATTCAACAAAAATTTATGGAGAATTATGAAAAATAACCTAAACTGGGAGACATTTTACAAACTGCTTCACCAGTATGTCAGGTTATACTCCTCTAAAGTCAAGGTCATGAACAAAGAAATACTAAGACACTGTTATCAATGCTGACTAAGGAGAAGTGACAACTAAATGCAGGGTTGCATCCTGGATGGAAGCCCTAGAACAGAATAAAAGACATTAATGTAAAACTGATGAAATCTAAAAGTCTGAGAATGAGGAAAGAGAAACTACTAGATTTGGTTTTGCAGTTTTGATGAATGAGCTAAATAACATGATGATGTTAAGCTTGAAAACTGCATGATCATGACAGGAAACTGTCATATCTTTATAGCCTTACATAACAGCCAAATTCCAAAATAAAAACAATATTAAAAATAAAAGAGAGGCCTCCCTGGTGGCACAAGAGGTTAAGCACTGCACTATGAAGCAATCTGCAGTCTCTGCAACATGAATTCAATCCCCTGCGGGCCAGAGAACAACCCACACGGCAAAGTAGACCTCTCCTGTCTCCCCGCTGCTCCCCTCAGCAGTGCATTTCAGTCAGTCTCTCTTCTTCTGTTCCCCACTCTGTTTCTGGTGAATCCTCTCACCCCCTACATCTCTGGCCTGTGCCCCAGCTCTTGTATGCATAAATAAATAAATCTTTAAAAAAAAAAAAGAAAAAAATTTAAAATTATATTTCCAAATGTAATCAAATTGCATTCAAATCTCATCCAGTCTTCACAGTCAAATCCAATTCATTTTTGTTTTATTTTTGTCTCTGAAACAATGTCATTTATTATCTCATTTGACCCTCACCACAGCTTTGTGATGTAAGGAAAGCAAATTATAAAGGAAAACACTTCCAGTTCAAGAACTTTTTAATGTCCGGTCATATTTTTCTTTTTAAGTCACATTTTAACTATTTGCTCCTGAGAATTTAGAAGAGGTCATTTTCATCACGAGTGCAAACTGTGCTGCTCTGTTTATTTAGGGAGAGTCAACATCAAATTTATTTAGGGAGGGTTCCCATCTACCACAGGTCACTCTGTGCTTTTCAATTTACCAGTAGAAGAGATCGTGGGTGAGGATCTGGGAAATAGAGGTGAAGACCAAGAATACTGGGTTTTAGACTTGGGAAACCCATTTTTTTTTTAATGCAATTGTATTGATTCACTATTTGTTTACAAAGCTATATGGTTTCAGGAATATAGCTTTGCACTTGACCTGTATATAGGCTTCACTTTCCCACCACCCAAGTCCTGGGGCCATGTCACCATCATCCTGTACCTTCCTCCCCCTACTTCCTCTTTTACCCTGGTACCAACCACACTGCTCACCCAGTCTACAAGTTATTTTTGTTTTGCCAGTTTCCTTTAGTAATTTACTTGCACGTATGAGTGAAACCATCCAGTAATTGTCTTTCATCTTCTAACTTATTTCACTTTGCATAATCCTTAAAAGTTCCATTCATTTGTTACAAAGCCACAATTGCAATTTTTGTTAAATAGCTGAGTAAGTACTATACTGGCTATGTATGTCACTTCTTTGACTAAATATCCATCAACGAGCATTTGGTTGATTCCATGTCTTTGCTATTGTGAATATTGCTGCTATGAACTGAACATAGGGATGCAGATATCTTTTCAAATTAGTGTTTTGTATTTTTTTGATAAACACCTAGGCATGCTTTTGCTAGATCATATGGTATTTCCATTTTTATTTTTTTAAGGAAACGTCATACTGTTTTCTATAGACATTACCCCAATTTATATTCCAGTGTAGGGTCAGAAATGGACACAGGGCAGGTTTTCTGATCCAGCAGACTGGGTAAAGGAGGAGTCAGAGTCCTCAGTGGCTTTTGCAGGTCTTTTATTTAGATTTACCAGGCATGTAGCAGGCAGGGGTGCTGGGGGGCCAGGAGGCTGGCAGGCCTCCCAGCCCCCAGCAAATCCTCACTCTATCTGGGCTTTCTGGTGTTCTCTCTGCTTCTCTTCTTCTTCTCTCAGCTTCTGCTCATTCTTGGCTTCTCTGCTCCTGTCTCAGCTTCTTCTGCTGCGGGCATCTCCGTGACGCCGCCCTTAAAAGTCCAGTCTTAGCCCAGGTGGATCCCATCTACCTATGCCCACACCCTATTCCAGGTGCCTGCCATCAGGCATGCATTCAGGACCGCAAGGATCTATCATCTATCCTAATGGCGGGAGGGCAGAAAAGCCTGACATTTTTTCCTTACCCTACATCCAGCAATAGTGAACACGAGTTCATTTTTCCCATACCTTCACCAACATTTGTTATTTCCAGTCCTCAAAGCTATTTTCACAAGTGTGATATATTATCTCATTATGGTTTTGATTTGCTTTTCTCATATATTGATAATAAGTGGTGTTAAGTATTTTTTTCATGTGCAGTGGGTCATCTTCATGTCTTTTTTTAAAGAGGACATTCATGTTTATTCATGTCTTTTGCCCATTTTTTGATTGGTTTGTTTGGGGTTTTTTGTTGTTGTTCAGTTGTATGATTTCTTTATGCATTTTAGAAATTAACCCCTGGTCAGACATATGATTGTGTAAATATCTTCTTGTCGGTAGTTGCCTTTTTGTTTTTGTGGTGGTTTCTTTTGCTATACAAAAGTTTAATGTTATCCCATTTGTTTATTTTTGCTTTTGTTTGGGAAACACATTGGTGGCCCATTTGTAAGCATGACTGAATATCGTGATCTTGAGTTTATCCATTTGTACCTTCAAATATTTCACAATGAAAAGTGTGATGAGAAAGGGCTTGAAATTGTGCCAGCCAGCCTTCCCAAAAGGCTTTTAAACTTGACCCGGAGAAGCAGTCTACAAATAAATGGCCAAACTCATTATCAGTGCCCACAACAGGTCAAGGCTGCACGGCCTTTGGGTCAAAGCTCATATTTATCAGGCAAATAACTTCCTGTCTATATTTGGTTTGTTAGTTTTCCTTCTTCAAAGGGAAAAATATTTATAGTCATCTGATATGTGAATTAGTACTAGAGAATGATTATGATTTATGTGTACTTTTAAGGGGTGAATTAATTTTCTAATAAATCCTCGGTCTCAAAATTATTTGCAAAATCTCTCTCAAGAATCAATATCTTCAAGATTATATTCTCCATATTAATTAAAACTAGACAGTTTTAAGAATCACAAGTTTGGAAATCAAATGATATCACTTTATAACCTCAAATTCAAAGGGAAATTATGAAAAACTCAGGTTGTGAATAAATCTTAAAATATGAGGCTCAATAAGAAAGGCTCAATAAGAAAGAAAATATTAGCAGCAATTCTGAAAGTATCTGAGGTAAAGGATCAGTTTTATTAAATTCTAATAAATCATACTTATTAGATTAAATTAAAAATAGCTACTAGAAAAATGAAATTTTATAAAGCAAAGATATAAAAAAGCATTGACCCCAATTTTTGTCATTAGTTTCCAAAAACATAACATTACATTTCAGTAAGTATAATATGAGCAAACATAACATAGGGAAAAAAAAGTTTTTTACATGCTAATTTATGATGCTATTACTTATTATAATATAGACCATTAACAGAACTTAGGCATCAGGATTCTGAATAACACTGCTTTATAGCAGATTGTCTTTTAGATAATCTAAAAATATACATCATAAAAGAACACCCCAGAAATGATAAAAATGCATACAAAAAAGAAGCACACCTCAAACCTACTAGAATGATTATTAAAGAGACAAAGGAAAAAAAATAAAAGAGAATCAATAAAAAAAAATGACCCAGCACAAATAAATATGAATGATGTACTAGTAATCTTATCCAAAGCAATATACAGGTCAATGAAGCCCCATGAAAGCTCCAATAGCATTCTTCATACAAATAGAACAAACATTACTGAAATTCGTATGGAACCACTATCGAGCCTGAATAAGCAAAAGCTTCCTGACAAAAAAGAGGTAGAATGGTGATATCACACTCCCAGGCTTCAAACAATACTACAAAGCTAAAGAAATGAAAAACAGTATGGAACTGGAACAAAAACAGACACACAGGTTAATAGAATAGAATTGAAAACCCAGAAATAAACCCACACTTGTATGGAAAGTTAATCTATGACAAAGGAGCAAAGACTATACCCTGGAGAAAGGGAGACCAAGTTCAACATGGATGTGCATGGCCATGTATGGAGGGAAGCTTCCAGAAAGGAAGGTACTTGTGCAAATGTACTGATACCATGACTTCTGTTCGTGCAACTACAGGGCAGAGTACTTTGATCAACAAGCAGGAGTGGTCATTCATTGGGCAACTATCAATGTTTTTTTTATATTAAAAATATTTTTATTGAGGCAACATTGCATTATAACATTATATAGGTTTCACATGTGGATCATTACAAGCCAACAGCTAAATATAATACATTATTATTCCTCTGAAGTGCTGAGGCTTTTTTTCAATTCTTCTTATATTTAGTAAGTTACACTTTAAAAATTGCTTTCAGATGTGTCATGGGTTGAAAGTGAGTGGGAAATGAAGAAATTTAAGTATAGATGACATATCTTTACAAGATCTAAAATTATTTGACTTATATGTGGAATATAGAGAAACAAAACAAAGCATCAGATAAAGCCAAACCAGTAACAAACCTAGAAAACTGTGTATGGACCAGCAGTTACAAGGGGCAGAAGGGGAAACACAGAGGGAGGGAGCACAGTGGACTATGGCAGAGGGCTGTGGGTGCCTTGGTGGTGGGCGGTTGGTATGAGGACATGAGCGGTTTTGTTTTTTTGTTTTCGGGTTTTTTTTTTTGTTTGTTTTGTTTTGTTTTTTGTTTTTTTTCCCAGTAAAATGTTGAATAATAGTTTGCTATGATTTCAACTGTGAAGAAAAATAATCTGTCTCCATAATTCTGACAGGCTTAATTATATGAGAAAAGGGGATGGTGGAAAACTGGAGCATGAGTCACTGGTCTTTTGGAACTTCAGGACTGATGGAAAGGTTCGGGAGATGGATATGATGTGTTTTTTCTCCAACATCCAACATGGTGGCTAGTGCAGTGAATGCACCCAGAGAATGTTTGCTTGTGTCTGGCCACACGCATATGCACTAGTACTGCAGACGATGAATCTGTTTCTATTGCCCAAAATCTCATATGTATTTTCTCGTGTGTCTCGAAGCTGATTTTCTCTTTCTATCTCCTCAATAAGATATTTTTAAATTGTACTCATGAGAACAAGGAGGTGAGAGAATTAGGAAAGAAACTGTGGAGAGAATCCAAAGTAAAAGCCCAGAACTTCAGATCAAACAGATCCACCCTCATAAAATTAATCATTCACTTCATACAGTCAACCTTATGCCAGTTTATATAGATTTATCTGTTCCTTACAGAGAGTTGATGATCCTTTATTCCTGGCTACTGAAGACTCAGTCTCTCTGATTTCAGAATGAAGAAATGGCTTCATTCTGCTCACCTCGTGATCTCTGGTGACAACCGTGCAGGTTGCTTCCCAAAGCTTTGCCCTGAGTGGTAATCTTCTCAGCCTGTCCACATCTGGCCACAGAATTCTGTAGCTAGAAGGTTTTGCTAGGATATGACCAAAGGGTCTGATGTCTTCAGCAGAACTTTGGGTAACATGACCTTTAGTTTTATGACTGTGACTTGTGTTTGTGTTTAATATAAAATTTTGTCACTTTGGGTCACTGCATTTTCCTGTATTTGTCTTTTATCCTTTGGAAGGCTAAACCCATGATTTCTATTTCCTTTGAAATGCCCCGGGAGTCAGGTGTAATGCTTAGTCTCAGGTGAGAAGTCATTGTCCAACATCATTACTAAAGTGAAGGAAAGTGATGGCTTTTAATGTTTAAGGAAAGGTACCATGTAACTTGTCTTAGGAAACACACGTTTATTGAAATGGCACGTAGATAAATTATCACCAGTATAAAACTGTTAGTGGAGTTTTCAACATAGGTTCTTTTTACTCTAAAATGAAGTGAGGCTTTGCAAGTCCATTGTCCCATAGGAAAAATATTATCTTTGTCTGTTCAGATAAAGTCCTCTAAAAAAAGTAAATCACTTTTGAAATGGTGTTTTAAACGTCTCCAGCCTATGACCAAAACAAAAAATATATTAAAAAAAAGTAATTCTCTCCATTTGAAAAGAAAAATTAAATATGAATGATTTGGGGGTAATATGAAAAAAGACTTAGGTATTTAAACACAAGTATTTACTTCTATAGTATTAGTCTATACTAAAATATTTTTTTAAAAATTTAAATTATCAATGCAAAATGGCATGTGATCATTCAAACACAAAATATGGCAATTTTGTTGTATATCTAGGATATAAGCTAAAATGTAATTTCATCAAATAAATTTTAAGTAACTGGAGGTCAGTAGTTTGGGAATACCATCCATAGTGAGTTTTAATTTTCAATTAAGGGGCAATATCCTTTATAAAAGACATGAAATGAATAAATATAACTAAATGAGAAGAAACTTTCAGAAAAGTTTCTATAGTGTGTGGGTTAATAGAATGAACAATTTTCAGGGTAAATGATTTACTCATATTCTATGTCTACATGGTGATCAACCTGTTTGGCTCCCCCAAGATGGTGCTGCTGTCCGTCTCCTATGGAGAGTCTGTTGAATGGAATTATCTTCATGGTGGTTTTCTTCATGGAATACCACCGGGACTTCCAAGTGGCCCAAATAATTCCATTATCATAACCATTAGTAGTAGAAGATTTTGAATAAGTGCCACCTAAAACAAATTGTAGATGGTCATATCATTGCTTTTGATTTTTCTTACCTCAGGAAAAGTCTATAAAGAATGATTATGAAACCTATCATTACTTCAATTTGTGTTAACTGCTGCCTGAAAATATCATCTAAACAGCTTGATTTACAATTGAAATAAATTATTAAATGGCTCCTTACATGTATATGGAGCTTGCTGATCACATCTATATACATCCTATCACTTATCATACATAATTTATTCACTGTTCCCAGTGTACAAACCCCAATTAATCTCTAAGCTGAACATTCCTAGACTCAGATACTATAGACCATCTTTATTCTAGCATGTTAAAAGTACAACTTCTGATCAGATGGTCTCAGGTTATCTGTAAATCAATGAGCATGAGGGATTCTCCAAGCAGTCTTGCAATGTTGTTTTATATCTGCATTATAAAGTGGATATTAGGTTGATTTGCTTTCTCCTTCGCTGAGGAAACCAGATCTTCGGCGCTGCAGAAGTTACTGAGGGAGTATAATACTGACTAAACCACAGACATGCAACATGGCTGCCCTGGGTATATGGATCAAGCACCTTCCCTGAGAGTTTCTTCGAATTATATGGTTTGTAGCTGCAAGGATAAGTTAGGTTTCCTTTAAAAATGTTGTGGAAACCGAAAGGTAAATTTAAATAGTTTTTTAAAGAGGATTCCAGGCAATCTATTGGCAAGAACGTTGCCCCAGGAGCTATTGATAAGATTGCTTGTCTGAAGGAGTCTTTTTTGCATCTTAGAGCTTCCCCATTATAACTGTTGCATAGTAACAACAGTGTCTTAAGTAAAACAAGTGTTTAGAACTACTTTTGCCATAGAGCAAACCCTCCCTTGTTGTCAAATAAGTGTCACACTCCTCAGGCTGGACTCCTCTCAAGCTCCTAGGGAGGTTTTCCCTTACCAACACGTCCTGCTCTTTAGTCCATTCCTCCAATCACCTGATCACTCAGACTCATGGGAATCTGAGCAGGATAACGTGTTCCTAAGCAGAAATATGGCAATGTTCATCTGTCCCAACTAAATACATGTTAGGTCTGGAGGAGATACTGTAGACCTGAGGGTGATAATTCCAGGCACAATGACAAACCACTGGGTATTTCGCAACAGATACCTGTTTTCTAGAAGGACCAACTTGTATAAGCTTAGAATGAGCCAGTTATATAATAAGCTCCCAATATATTTTTACTAATTATCTCTCATTTTCTCATATCTATTTGTTACCTTTTATCAAAATGTAGACTGTATACTAATTCAGATGCCTAAGGAGGAAAGCCATACCTGGGTAATAAACTCCGTTGAGGTGGCCAGCATGACATTTGTTCATCCACCAACCAGATCCATCCTGTTCAGCACAGTTGCCCTCAAACTTATCATTGTCATTGTCCCACGTACTGAATTGCATGCCATTGTGGGATGTGAAAAATTTGTCACTAGGATCATCACCAAAATCAAAGCCATCAAAGGCATCTCCAGCATCTCCACCAATGAAGTAGGCGTATTTCAGGCGGTATTTGTCAGCTTCGGGTCCCACCTGGAACATGGCGTAGTCGGCAGTGCTAGGAAGAAGAGAACAGGGATTCATGTCCTAAGCTTAGTAGCGGCCTCAGAAGTTCCCTCTTCCATAAAACAGTTGTTTGGAATTTTTTTAATCTTAATCTTACACCCAAAATATGCTCATCAGATAATGTTATCTACCAATCTGACAAGCAGTAATGAAAGGTCTGAGCCATTTCTGAGCCCATAATTACCAACCAGATGCATTCAGTGGTCTTTAGAGCATCCCAGTGAAAACTGAAAATTTCACCCACTTGAGGGCTCTTTGTCTATAAAATCTTGATATTGAAATCAAGATGTTTGGATGAATTTGACTAATTTCATATTTGCCATTTTTATTTAATTAATGCAGCATAGTTGAAGGAGGTCCAATAGCTCAATTAGCCACTCATATCAGCTGGAGGCTGATGTCTCAAAGGGGCTGTTTTTTCCAGGGATATGTAGTAGTGGCAAAAAAAAGGCCATCATAAAAGAAGTGGTTCCCGTGTGACCTACAAAACCTGTGCCATAGTATCAGAGAGAGGGTCTCCTCCAGAAGAAAAATTATGAATGAAGGCCAACATTTTATGGCATGCATGGAACAATGGGCCTTGTTGCTGGAATAGAGATTTCCAGAAAATATATCTTCTTCCCCAATTTCCATCTTTGGGAAACGGAAGGTGTTTTTACAATTTCTGCCAACTACAAAGGGTATTTCTGGGTAAAAAATTAAAAAATAAAAATACCAATTTGGAGATAGACTATATTTTATTTTCTCATAGACTTAACAAGAGGGTTGGGTAGTCTTGTGAATTTTAGTTAGGTGTCAAAAGCTCAAAGCCCACAGATAGCTCTGAGCATAGAGAGGGCTCTCCCTTACCCAAGGAGCTAGCTGATTTGATTTGTAGACAGACATGGACCTGACTGATCATTAAAGCACCAGGAAATCTGAAGAGTCTGGATTCATTTTGCAACCAAGAGAACAAGTTGCAGAGGCAAAATTTAAGGCAAATCTTTATCATATGCCAGCAATGTGCTCATGTGAAGATTAATCTGTAAAATGGGATTAATAATAGTTCCTGCCTTATGAAATAGTTATTTGGATTAAATTGTATTCAATTCAATTCAATTTCTGCACACATTAAACACTCAGTAAATATTGGTTATTATTCTTATGGTTTCAGGGTATGTATAATAGATTATACCAACACACTAATAGCCATGCTGAATAAACCTCTTTGGATGGTTTAAGAATTGGATTGATTTCTGCAGATAATGGCTGGATGTGTTCTCTGCCTTTGTCAGGCTGCCTCTGCCATTGTTCTAGTGGGAGTTGGAAGGTATGTGTTCCAGAGTGTCTCTGTTAGATTAGAAGCCTTTTCTAAAGAGTACCTGGTTCTCCCATTCCAGTCCTCCAGCTGCACTCTCAATGCATATGGGATGGCAGACTGTGTGCTAATCAAGTGAATCTTCTCATTTCCCAGCCAAAATTCAGTGGTGCCAGTAGGAGACAGATGTCCAAATCCTTCTTTATATTGAATCCAATTCTTCTTGAAATCCTCACTGCCATCCAGCCTCTAATTATGCAATTGAATAGGCAAAGGGAGAGAGCAAATAATCAGTGCGCAAAAAGAAAAAAAATTATAAACACCTGTTGAAAATATGAAAGGTATAACTCTATCATCTACTAACTGCCCTTGGGCAAGTGCCTCAGTTTCCTTGTCTGGCAAATAGAGTAATTATGTTTACTTCTAGGGTTGTTGTGGGGATGACAAAAGAGAATATCAGAGAAATACTTAAAAGAGTGCCTGGAACATGGTAAATTTTAAATCAGTGGCAGTTTACAAAAATGCCTATAGGAATTCATAAATCCAGCTGAGGCTGCCTTCTTTTCTAATGGAGAAAATGTCAACCCATTGCTCAACCATATCTACCAGCCAGTGCTTCGGTCATGTTTGTCCTCTGGCGCCCCCCTGCAGGAGTAGTTAACCATGGTGAAAGGAAAACAAATTAATGGAGCCTGGAGCTTCAGAGGTGCCAGGGACTAACAGAGGCAACACAGGGTTCTTATGCTGGATTCTCCCAACTGCATCCTCTGGGGACTTCATCTTCTTGTGCTGGGGAGTCTTGATCTAGCTGCTGAAAAAGCCCCCTTCTAGTTATTGGTCACTCTGCGACTCTGAGCTATCCTGAATCTAAATCAGCATGCCAGCGTAGTACAGAGTCAAAGCGCAGACTCTGAAACAAGATCTGGTTCAAATCCTACCTCTGTTACTTGTTATGTCACTTCGGGCAAGTTACTTAACCTCTTGTACGTAAGTTTCCTCCTCTGTAAATAGGGGTACTAATGGTGCCGACCTCACAGGACAGTTGTGAGGGTTATTTGAGTTAATGTTCACAAGATGCTTTGCAAAGCATGTGGTGTTGGCAGGAACAACGGTGTGTTTGTTAAATACACACGGCAAGGTGGGGGAGGGGAATACCTTCTGGAGCACTGTCCATCCATTTCCAGATCCATCAATTTCACAGTAGACCAAAAACTGCTGCGTTGCTTTCAGAGGTTTGATAAAGTAGAGCCCACTCACTTTGGCTCCCTTATTGGCAATGTCTTGACAATCTGAAAAAGAAGAATTGTTATTGTGGCTTGAAATCCAACTAAGATTGTACTGGCTTTGAAAATGAATTTTCAACATGTTGCAAACTATTTCCCAAGAAGTACGTTTTTACTTCTTACATTATCATCTCTTTCAAACTATTTTTAGCTACTCCAGAAAAATCCAAGCAACTGGGCTTTTTAGATTTAGTGGCTAGCTGCTTTCCAAGTAAGTCCCGTACATTCCAACACATACAATCACCTTCAATTTTTATATATTTTCTTTGAGGAACATTATCCCAAAGTCAGCCTGTCACGTACCTTTCCCGGTGGTACTTTGTATATCCACAGTATCTTTGCAAGGCTCCTGACACTTTGCTTCAAGCTGGGCTACCCTCTGATTCAGGGTAATGAGCTTTTGATTATTTGAATTATATATGTCTTGCAGATATCTAGAAGGAGAAGAAGAAGGTAAGAGAGTAATCCTTTCAAAGGAGTAATTTTGTATTTAAAACACTACCTTATTTTCTTGAGAACCATCTCCTAATAAATTACTTTATTCTTGGAAGCATTATACATTTCTATCACTCAACAGAAGTGGACTAAAATCTTAAGCTTTTTGGAAAAGAACATTTGGAAAAACTAATTAAAACAGGAACATAATTTTGACCTGAATATTTTCACCTAGAATGGGATTTATAGTCTCAACTCTGAATACAAGTAACAGTCTTTGTCATGAACAAGGTCATTCTAAACAGTTGTTCTGAAGTTCACCTTCTGTATCAGGTGCAGTCAATAATGACCTACCAGAGCAATGAGTCCGGATAATGGGAACACCCAATATTTTGGGGACAGAATATTCTTAAGGAAGAAAGGGCTCTGTCAAGAACTCACAGCTGTTGAAGCATTATTTCTCTTCACTCACCCATCTACTGAGCATCTATGTATGAACTTCACCTTATCTGGGAAAAGTATCTGGGGTATTACTTTATATACACTATAACAACAGAGACTTTCCCTTCCTTTTTAAAGATTCCACTTACATAACTCCGAAAAAGCCTGGAAAAAATAAAAACCCTGCTTTTGCTGTTTCCCATAGGGTTTCTTGTAAATATTCAGAAATGATAGAAAACTACCTACAATAAATAGTTATATCTTTTGTATTATAAAATCTATTTATTAGAAGCAGAAGAAATTTACAAAGGCTGAAACAAAAATTTGGTTCCATCTTAATCTTAGGACACGGATTTTCCATCAATTCTTGTTAATATTTCTTTACATCTCCCAACTTCATTGTTACAAAGTAAACCCTCTGTTTACACTATCTGTGTGAACATGTGTGATAACCTCTTATGTAGTGTAGAGTTGTGTCTTTCTTTGAAGGAAAGGAGTGTAGACAGACTATTAGACCACTTTTTTCCTCTACTATACCTTAAAAAAATTCTGCATTATGGTCTCATCAAATCAATGATGGGCATTCATATGCAAATGATAATATATCACCACAATAATAACGATCCTCTAATACCAGAAAAAGGAGAAATTGCTCCTGAACCACTTCTCCCCAACCACCATTTATCTTGATATCTTTTGCTGTTTTGAGAACAGCTTAGGGGGGAAAAAAAGATTGAGGAAGAAACTAAAACTGTCTTATCAGAAAGTTTATGAGTCTCTGGGTGTTGTTAGTCAAGAAAATGCTTGAAAACCCCCAACTGCAGGTTCAGTGTATCATGATCCATAAGTAGCTCTGCAATGTTTGTTACACTTAGTGTTCTCAGAGTCTCTTGTCTACCTTCAATATAGTTTATTTTTGTAGCCAAGATCCTTCCTATGCCCCTGCTTGCTAATTCCTCAGCACCAATGTGTTGACAGGCTTATAAAAGAGAATTTTATTTTCAACACCTTTCAAATTTTTATCTTCAGATTCCTATCAGTTTGAATTTATGGTATAAGACAAATGGGGATTGGGGGAGAAGATTTTGATAAACAAAGCATGACAACATCTGAAGACATTTGGGACCACTTTCTCCCACATGATTATTAAAGGCATTTCTACCCCATTCCAATTCATACTGCACTAAAAACTCCTCTCTCCACTGTGTTTACAGTGGTCAGGTATAGTACCTGTTGGCTATTTTAAGTGGAAGGAATAAAAAGATTGCCTCCACCGAAGCTTGGAATACTAAGAACTAAACCACCTTGGAGAATACATTAAAACATAAAAGCTCACCGAATACTTGTTTCATGGGTTGAAATCAGTGCTTCATATTTTATAATTTCTTCCATCATTTTCTTGGACTCCCTAGTGGCAAGCTCTACCCTATCTGTAATGTGGGATCAGAGACATAAAAAGACTTAGGCCAATAGAAACACAAGAATCACCACAAAGGAACTTAGCAAATCATGTTCTTAGTCAATAGTATTTCGTATCTCACTTGGCTTTGCTGAGTCCTTGGGAAGATAGCTGACTTGAATTGCTTTCACCAGTTGTTTGGCTTCTGATGTTCTGTTTTCAGCTTGATTTAAGATGTCTTCCAGAGACTGCAGGTCCCTGTCTACAGTGGTTTGGTAAGTAGACAGGAAATCTGCAATTCCACAGGTAGTTGGGCAATAACTACCCTGAAAACATAGCAATAGATCATTAAAAATCTTGATTAAAATTCACATAAAATCTATTAATAAATATAGGTAAAATATAGACAATATATAAAAAAAAAAGCTTGAAATGTCCAATGACATTCATGAACCAATTCCTTCTATGCCCCTGGCCCTCTCCAACTCAACCACAGCATGAAACATAAAATCGACTTACAAATCTTTCATCTAAGATGCAGCAATTGTCCCTGGTGGCAATATACTAGAAGAGAAAAATACAGACAATTCATTCATTTCATTCATTTATCATCTATTTTTTTCCTTTTTCCAGCTTTCCATTTCTAACAAATACGTTTTGTGAAGAGCACACTTACTCCCAGGCATGTTGACGAGAACGACAAAAGAGCGCAGAAGGAGAGAATTAAATTCCGGGGGCTCGAGGACCAGCTCATGATGCGGGGCGCCTGGGGTCCGAGCCCAGCTGTGTCAGCTCTGTGCCTCTCAGCCTCCACTTGTCCCTTTATGTAAGCTCCCGGGATGGCCCGGGTTGCCAGGGGCTGGAGCAGATCACGGGACCTTCTCTCCAGGAGGATGGGGGATGTCCTTCCCGTCTGTCTCGTTTCCCTGCTCCGGGCTCCCAACCTGTGCTCAGTCAGGTTCCCAGATTTGGCACAGGCTGATGCTCCTCCCTTTCTGGCCCAGCTCCTCCCTGTCACCTCTGAAGCCAACTGCTCTGCAAAGGCTGGTGAAGCATTAGCCATGGCTAAGAGGAGGGTGGGAGGCTGGGAAGCTGCGTGATGCAATCGCTTCCCGTACATGGTTGAGACAACAAACAAGGAGACCTGACCTCGACCAGAACAAGCCCCCCGCCCCCCCCACCAGCCAGAAGGTGGAGACCGAGGCCCTAACCCAAGTCACAGCAAGTCCTGTCTTAGCCCAGGGCGGCGATAACACGATTATTTTTAACCTGTTGCTGTGACAGGAGGAGCCTTGGGCTGGCATCATGTTCCAGTTTGTCAGAATTCCCCCAGGAGCATCCCTAGAAATACCTTCTGGCCCTTTGTGTTAACCATGTTCATAGACTCTCCGTTTGCAGCCAACTTTTCTTTATTAATACAAGTAACACTGCTTTGTAAGGTTAGATAAGTGACAGTGTTCATCGCTGAGTGTCACCACGTAGACACACGACATTCAAGTCACACTAGAAGTCCAAACCCAGCAAGCATTGGAAAGCAAGGCTCCTTTCATGGGCAAGACTGCCAGGCCTCCCACTCCATTCGACAGACAGGGGCAGTAGGCCTACTTCGTGGCCCTGGAGATTCCACTTAATTCCCTCAGAGGAAAGTCTGGTTCCTGGAGACAGGGGCCAGGAAAATTCACCCAGCACACATGGGCCTATAGCATAGTGGATGAAACAGAGCCGAAGAAGACATTAGGGAGGAACTTTCATTTGGGCTTCCATGTACCGATGGTTGTCAATGGTTTGATTTATGATGAATCGAGTTTAGGGTGGTGTGAATGTGAAACACATTCAGAGGAAATTATACTTAGAAATTTGACTTCTGATTTTTTTTCTCCGGCTAGTGATACTCAGTTTGATGTTCTCCGGTGAAGCTGGACAGAGGCAGTGGAGCCCCGGCTCCCACCCAGCCCCGCCATCACCAGGGTAAACAGCTAATGCTGCAGAGTGGGCCGGCATTTGTTTGAATGTTATATTTCAGCCTCCTAGCAAGTTCACAAAATGCCTACCTGAAATGAAATTCAAGATAATTGCCCCACTGCAGGCTATTGTCAGTGTTCTGAGCACATGTGAGGCAGGCTGAGCTAAGCTATGCTGTTCGGTAGGTTAGGTGCAAGAAATGCAATGTGTTGGGCCTCCCCTGGTGGCGCAGGCAGCGGGCGCAGCACTGTGAAGCTGTCTGCAGTTTCTGCAGCCCCAGTTAGATCCCAGCTGGCTGGCGAGGGTCTCATATGGTGTGGCAGACCTCTCCTGTCTCGCCCGCTGCTCCCCTCAGCAGTGTATTTTGTCAGTCTGCCTGTTCTGTTCCCTGCTCTGTCTCTGATGAATCTTCTCACCCTCCTGCCCATCTGGCCTGTACCCCAGTTCTTGTATGAATAAATAAATAAATCTTTTTTTACAAAAAAAGAAAAGAAATGCAATGTGACTTAGGGTGTTTTCAATGTATAGGTTTACAGGATGCCATCCTAAGTCAAGAAGCATGTTCCTCATCATCTCCTATTGATCATTTAAAATTGTACACTATAACTAACTATATCAACACCCTTATATTTTCTTATCCTTTCTTTCCTCTTCTGAAACCAAGTTTACTGCAAACTCTGATTAAATATATTTAGAAGAGAAATACATGCAGACTGACTGAAATGCCAAACTTTTAATCTTTACTCCTGTATCTTGACAAAGGAATATGTATATGTTGACTCAAAACAAAGATGAATGTTTCTATTCAATAAATAATACTTATTATAAATACATCTAGACCAGATTCATTGCCTTTTCTTTTCTCCTTAATAGTTTCCCTCTCTGACTGCCAGTTATCACCACTGTCACCACCATCCACCAGCCAAATCTCATCCCTCTTCACACTCCTTCTCAATGCATCTAATCAGTTGCCAAAGTTTTATTGTCAAGCAGTTTTCACACTCGCTTCTATTTTATTCCTTCTTTCTATTTCCACTCTTGACTTCTTGTCTGGACAGCGTGCTAACCGATCTCCCTCATTGCACTGCGGTTCATCCTGCTCCCAGTCACATGTCACACTGCTGACAGATCCTCTTCCTGGCAGGGAGCTCTGATTTTGACTGTCATCTGCTCAAAGGCCTTCAGTGACTGTCTCCCATTGCAGTGGGTGTAAACACAATAAATGTCCCTTCCTACCTTTGCTACTAGTTCACTCGTGATTCTGTTTCCCAGACCTTTGACTAGAACCACATTGCACCGAGTTACATCTCCCTACCCAGCACCACACAGTGCTGTTTGTCAGATTGTATTTTGCTTTTTCATGCAGCGCCTTCTGACTTCATTCATGCCGCTGCATCTCTGGCTGTCAAAACCCTGCACATCTTCAGGTGTAGGTTTAGATGTCGGTGCTGTTTCATGATTCTCCTCCCTCCAACACCCAAACCTAAGCTCTGCAGACAAGTTCCATCTCTTTCCTTTCCCTGGTGTACGCTGTCGTTAGAATTGTGAACATATGAACCTATTATCCATCTAAAAGTATATATAATTAAAATATGTGAACATTGATCCTTCACAGTGATTTATTTGTTATACTAGTAATTATGTCTTCATTTTTTAATCAGAATATAAAAGGTAACTAAGGCATTGACATTTAAGGAGCATCTAATCCAACTGAGGGGCATATGCATAAGCAGTTGTTAAGTGCTCTAAACTTCCTCTGTGTGGGTTGAATTTCTTCTCTACAACTTACTAGCTGTGTTACTCAGTACAAGTTACTTAACCTCTCTGGGTTTCAGTATCCCTGTCGTCAAAATGGAAATAATATGTACAATACAGTCTCTACCTATTACCAGGATCCAATGAAATAATGTGTCGAGACTATTGCCTGATTCACAGAAAGTGCTAAGTGAATGTTTATAAGGTTTATAAATTGCCAAGTGTTTTAAAGTGACTACTGAAATTGTATGCACAGGTATTTCATTTCATAGAATTGTAAGAGGTACTGTAGTTGGTAGGTTTGATTCAGGAGAAACAAGTTTTGCTGTTCCAGATAGAGAAGCTTGTCTTTAATAAATGAGCTGTTGACACTAATTTCTGGCTGTTGTTGTCATGCTCTTCAGAGAAGAAAGCATCTGATTGTCTAATTTAGATGGAACGTCCACCTAAATAAATTGTGTCAATCAAAGGTGAAAAGATACTAGAACTAGAATGCACGCCTGCAGGAAGGGTTACTTCCTGTCAGCAAGATTGTCTAAGCCAATAGGGCCTCTTGTAATTGTGGCTCTTTCCACAAAAGAGCCACAACACAATATTCAATTGTTGAATTTAAGGTAATAATTCATAACCTTTTGCTAGCTATTATGTGCACATGGTTGAGAAACACTTACATTGAAGACATGGGAAATTCTTATCCATTTTTATAAGTGTAGTACTTACTTTTCTGACTTTTTGTTGACTTGAGTTGGAATCTGAGCTATGTTATCACAATTTAGAAACAAGACTTGCTTCTTACCACAACCTCAAGTCCTAAATCAGAATTCGATTAAATTTCTGGCCATCAGCGATTTCCTAGCCCACGTCGGCCTTGCAATCAATCTACTATCACTTAAGTTTGTTAAATTTTAACGAGCTGTTCTCTCCATGTTTGGGCTATTTTTTTCTCCAATAAATTATAAATAATTAATGAATTCCAGGAAAGAAAAATTCTTCTTAAATCACTTTTCCTCTGCTTTTAGATTTGTTTTCTGAGAAAACAGCAAAGGTAGCACTGAAGCCCAATACTCATTTATTTAATTCAGAGATCAATGGACTTGTTTGTGCAAATAATAATTTCCTAAATTAGTTGTCATCCAACTGTGTTCTGTTTTGAAAATATAACTTGTACTGCTAACGGTTTCCAGGTATATTGACAATTCATTCTGGGAATTCCTTGTCTGTTTTACCCATCTGTGCTCCAGAATTGTTTGCCTTTTTGAATTTGATCATATAGAGTCAATGTAAGAGTTCCTGACCTGGTGAAAAATGATATAGACCTGAAGGAAAAAATGGAAAGGGTCACCAATTTGGGGCATTGTCTTTATGCCAGATGTCATAGTGTAGTTTGGTTGCCATTTTACATATTCTCTCAATATAATCAAGTATCAGTTCTTAATCTAAGGTAAAAAATGTGCAGATAAAAGATGTTCTGTTCTGAAAATTAAAGCTACTCACTATTGGAATGGGTCCTAGTAGAGTTTATGGATTTAAAAAAATAATGTATGTACAAATATGTGGATTTGCTTGCAGGAACATATATTTATACCCATCTATCCAATCTGCCTTCCTCTCTCCTTCTCTAAGCTAGAGACAAGGTTGGCTGGATGGTATTTTACAGTCTTTCTCAAACCTGGATTTTAATTATATTCTGATGCTTATATTTTCAGTCCAGTTTTGGACGGAAGCAATTTGTCAATGCTGGCCACATGGTCAATAAGAATTGATGAACTGAATTCTCCTCAGAAGTTTAAGGGAAGTCTCATCCCTGGGATCATCCAAGGAAGTGGAATCCATGTTGATAATCATATAACGGTGTTTCTGATAAGTAAACCATTTCTGAATTGATAGTCCGACTCCTCAAAATCGGATGCCCTCAAAACAAGCAGAGAGAAAATGACCTGTTGACATGTTGAAAATCAGTCCAACCTAAGAGTAAAAATATCCCAGTAAGGAAAACAAAGTTGTCTGTTAGAATATTTGCTTTGTTTATAAAAATAG